CTTTTTAGTGGCTCGTATTGTCACGAAGAATATAAGTGGTGATACATTTAATTGTTATACAGCTAGCAATTTTTCATCATTGTGACGTGAGGTTGGCATTGTTACACATTTTTTCACTTAACATCCATTTGTAATAACGGGATGATATTTTGTCATGTTAATGCCTGCTAAACTGACATTGAACATCTAGGGGCCTAAATTGTCGAAAATTCATTAATCGTGATAGAATTGATAATATCGCTTGTAAGAATGCTCATAATATCAGGTTTCTATCCTATTTAAAGGTTACAAATGACTTGCATGAAGTTTTTAAATTTTTTATACTAGGACATGCACGATGTGTAAATATTTGATATGAAAAGAACAAACAACATTCTCGCTCAAGTCAGACAAAGCTTTTAATTTTTACATGTAAGTCACATGATTTAACCTTACCAAGATCGTAGGATTGAACTGGTATAATTTAGGCTTATTTGTTCCAGTATGTTAATATTTAGATTCATTTCTAATGGAATGAAATTTAAGTCTTGATAGATCCTAGAATTAAAGTAAATTAATATTTTTCATTTTTTTCAATTATATTACTCATTGAAGGATCAGCTCTTCCTTAGTTTATATTGGTGCACATATAAAAGGTCATCCTTCGATCACAGGGCTTCAAAATCCAGAATATATTCTTTCTTTTTACCCCCTGCGATAAGCAGTTAGCATTTCATTGAGAACTCGCAATCTGATTGGCTGTCACAACACTGCGACAGAAATCATGTATAAGTCATTGTGCATAATTAGATCACATGATTCAGTTTAATCGGGCGCTTCCAAATTGGTTATAGCAGGGGGAAGAAGGAGGTACGGATTCTGGACACCTGCTTAGGAGGATGATAAAAGGTGCCTAAATAAATAAACCAGAAATTTCATGCTTAACTAGCATCAATAAACCCCTAGAAATTCATATCATGCTTTAAATCCATGTATCAACATTTTTACAACAGACCTATTGTTGAAATAACAGGATTGTAAGTTATCAGTTTTCAAACCTGAACAAAAAAGGAAAAATGGCTGAAATCACCTAAGAAAGAATTACAGCTATACTAAGCAATTCTCTTAATTAGTTAGCAATATTAGAAAAAAATATATTTTCTCAGAATTTTAGCCAATATAAATGCATCACTTTTGGCTTAAGTGGTCCATATACGACAAGGCAGGTACATTATACAAGCACTGAGCTATAAATAATAGGCGTAAAGTTAATCCAACCAATGACATAAAAGTTCAATAGATCTTTGGTACTTAATCTTTAGGCCAAACAAAAGACCAAAGAATCAATGGTACTTGAGAACATGTTAGACCCTTATGTGTAGATTTGTAACTCTGTGTGTTATATACTATACATGGAGACGCATAGAGATCCTGATAATCAATTTTCATAATAAAGTGCCTGATACACAAGGTGTCTATAAAGTACAATAAAAATCTGTATAAGGTGTAAATAGACATAATGGACACCCTGTAAAATGTTTTCAGTGTTTGATCTAAGGTTTTTCTCAATTGACTCGACAATATTTTTTTTGATAAAATTATTATTGAACACTAAAGTTATGTATGTCGACATGATCTCTTCGAACAAACTGTTTGCTATTTAAATCAAAGTTTTCATGCAATCGGAAATATCTTTGTCATATCATGAGAAACAGCAATTCATCCACGTTATATTTTTTGATAATTTGCCAATTCGAAGTTTCATATGAAAAAAAAAGTTTACTTTTTCATTAGTTTAAGTGACTTACTATAACATTATACAGAATGCAAAAATAATTGTGCACAAGAATGAACCAATAAAATCTTAGAATGAAGATATTGTTTGCCTATTTTAGATATGAATATACGCAAATGATTCAGCAAGATCATAAAATATAACATAATAAAAAACTACCGAATGAAATTATTATATATAAAGCATGGTTATGTGATTTAAATCATTCATCTCTAAACTTGGGTATTGTTTTTTGGCCCACCTTGTATATTATAACCTCCTTAATATCCAGAACAGAAAAATATCAAAAAGCAATGCAAATTAGTTATCGATCAGGTAGATGTATTTCCCTGCAATTTATAAGGAAGCTCACCTTGAGCAATCTCCCTGGTATAAAAGCCACTGGTTGTTGTACCATGCTGAAAAATTGAAAAAGACTGTTCTATTTCTTTCAATCTCAAATACAAAATCTTCCAAAACATCTATATTATAAATTGGTGAAGTTGTTATGGATTAAAAGTGCAAAAATGGGTGAAAAATGTTTTAATTCTCCCAAATAATAAGAATGGTAATCATTCTTATAGAAAAATAATACATTATTGTAAAAATCTTGAGTTTTCCTGAAATAAAGTGTGTATATGTACTTTGGGGATTTTTAGAAAATAGACATGAAAAGGAATGACACAAGCCAGAAATATTCCAAAATTTGGCTGCTTGCTATATCTGATTCTCTCTTTAATGTCTTCTTTCGAATAGTCATAATTTAATTTGGAAGATATTTCTAGATTTTTCATAAAAAAATATTAGCGCAGTACACTCTGAGGAACTATTTTCTCCAAATAAATATCCTTCAAATTTCACAAAGACACTAACTTTTGAGTAAACCAAACAAGAATCATACTTGAAATAATATACTTTTGTTTCGTCAAAATATTCCTCGTGAACACCTTTTTCAATGAACACTCTTTAAATGACACGAAAACCTGTCCCTTATGAACACAATTTAGAACTAAATGTGGTTATTAACTGACATTTTCTCTCAATAGCTGATAAAAGCTTTCAACCTACCCAAGGAAAAGTAATTTGTACGATATTTTTAGATAATAACCAGACTTTTATTGTGATTGATTATTCCCAGAAGTCGCAATAATTAATGAGCTCTAGGTGGTAATTATATAATAATTAATGCTTTATCTAAGTGATAATGTAGCTGATGACACGTTGTGCTGCTGAAATGTTGCCCTTTGTTCAAATTTTGCAAGAGGGATTAACTAATTGGCACATATAAGCTATTGGGGTTTTCACAATCCTCAGTATCAACTAATTACTTAGATGCAAGTAGGTAGTTACCACTTTGGCCACCAGGTGCCTGATTCAAGGGAAATATAACATGGCAGGGTATTACAAAATTCTCTTAAACTTGAATAATCATCAGTTTTAGTGGTTCATTTTTCATATTACCCTTATGTATCTGATAGTTATACAAATTAAAATATGTCCAGTAAAAGAAAATATTACCTGCCCAACACAAGAAAAGATATTTCACTTTTTGTGATTTTATATCATGGGATCTATCGGGAATCTCCCCGACCTAGAAGTCACATTTTCAAAGAAAATTGAATTTTCAAAGTTGATAAACTCTTCAAAACCACATTTCTATATGTAATTTTACATGTAGATTCCATACATGACATCATTTTGAATTTTTAATGAAGTAATTCAAGATTATTTCTACTCACATCTGGTGTATTGGCATATTTTGAAAATTGGTGCCCTCTAGAGCCTTCTGGTGAAAGTACATTGAATAAAATGTTCACATTTTTTTACATCTGTTTATTGCATTTTTGTATTTTTTTAATTTGATAACTGGGCTGGATCTGTCTTATTCTTAATGACATACCTTACATCTCTGTTCTCTGTGACTTCACATCGTGTCCTTATTTTATCGATATCTGGCAGAAATAAGACAGATTAGAAAAATTTCAAAAAGTTTCCCTTTAGCGCTAGCCCGCCGGTGTTCATAACGGTTACGTTCATTGGTTGATTCGTCAGATTAGTCATATCTTTAAGCCAATCAAATTCAAGATAACACTTCGTAACTCGCTTTAGCGAATCGAAGTCAAGTTCTCGTCGTAATAATGCAGACAAGATGGTAAGATTGCTTCGTGTTCCACATAATTTATGAAACTGACCTATTTATTAAATAACAAATCACACGTGAATCAGCTGATCAGCTGTTTTGGGGCCCGCAATTAAACGATTTTTTCCTCAAGTCTTCAACTTATTTGGGCTTCAGATCAACCCATACCCCCCTCTGATATCAACCCGGATTTGCACTGATCTCACGGGGGTCAAATTTCGGTCTGAAAGTACCGGAACTAGCCGGAAAATCCGGAAAACTTTAAGCCTTGTCTCTGAACAGAAAGCACACAAAAATATTTGCATGATTTTTGTTGACTTGCTTTATACATATATATGTTTTTGATGGCAATTTAGTAAAAAAAATATGGTAGCTAACTCAGTAGCAATTATAAGCAAACAATAACATGGGCCCTAGATGATCTCCATAAATTTAGTAATCGTTTTTTTTTCTTTAGATATTCAATTTTTAACATGGCACACTTCCAATAAGGTGCATGTATAAAAGGTTTTTAGTGACATGCACGTCTTGTATGCATGTTAAAACCAACATATTTCTATCAAACTAAAATAAGTCTAATAAATGAAAAGGTGTTAATAACTACCTAGTTTTAGGTATTTTAAAAAGCTTTTTACTGAAGAAGCAAATAAAATACTCAAGGCAAAAAATTTATATATATATAATTAAGAAAGAAATAATGATAGGCCATTCAATATGCTGAAATACAGCATGAGTTGGACAGAATGTCATACAGCACGAACCAAAGATGAGTGCATTTGTACTGACATTCTGTCCAATGAGTATAGAATTTCACCATATTGAATGGCCCATCAGTATTCTGATTCAAAATATAACAAAATGAAAACATGGTCCAGACAATTGGGGATAAAGATCCATGAAAAACCCAAACTGTTATTTCCGCCATTCTCAGGTGTGATGTCACAATGCAACACAAAATATAAATTCCAGAATTAAAGAATGGTTATGCTTCATTCTGATTGGCTGAAAAACTCATTTAGAGAATGATCATGTTTGAATGTAATATAATATAATTATATAATAATAAATGACTAATGTATTAATAATGACTAAATATTATTCTTCCAGGTCCACAATGTACGTATAGTCAACCAAAATAACAAAAATAGTCTAATCCATGGGCCGTCAAAAGAGTTATCACTCTTAGAGAAAGAGCACGAGCAAAGACACAGGTGAGTTTGGAATTATTTTGAACACCCCTTGTATTTAATGTGGAATTATTTTAAACACCCCTTGTATTTTTTGAACACCCCTTGCACTCAATATCAAGAAGAAAATTACAAATTGATTGAACACTCTCTATCAAGGAGTTAATTTAGAAAATGTTAATACTGTATCGCGAATGAAGAAAAAATGACAATGAACCGAACGCAGGCCTCCAGACATCATCCAATATATTCCTTCCTTCTTCTAAAAGAACGAGACACAAGTTCTGAAGCTCTGTGTTTGGAAGATGGAAATTACAAATTGGTTTTTGGATCACCTGATATTGAGTATAAAATTACAAATGATTTTGATCTGTATAGAAACTCATTACTCATTTTAATTCTTTCCTGATATTGAGTATAAAATTACAAATGATTTTGATCTGTATAGAAACTCATTACTCATTTTAATTCTTTCCTGATATTGAGTATAAAATTACAAATGATTTTGATCTGTATAGAAACTCATTACTCATTTTAATTCTTTCCTGATATTGAGTATAAAATTACAAATGATTTTGATCTGTATAGAAACTCATTACTCATTTTAATTCTTTCCTGATATTGAGTATAAAATTACAAATGATTTTGATCTGTATAGAAACTCATTACTCATTTTAATTCTTTCCTGATATTGAGTATAAAATTACAAATGATTTTGATCTGTATAGAAACTCATTACTCATTTTAATTCTTTCCTGATATTGAGTATAAAATTACAAATGATTTTGATCTGTATAGAAACTCATTACTCATTTTAATTCTTTCCTGATATTGAGTATAAAATTACAAATGATTTTGATCTGTATAGAAACTCATTACTCATCTTAATTCTTTGAAATCATATCCTTTAAGCATTCATTAGAGAATGTTAACATTGTGGTATAAACAAGAGCCTTTAAAGTTAACATTGTGATATAAACAAGAGCCTTTAAAGTTGATTGAGATATTGACCTTTATCTTCCGGAGAAATGTTGGATCTGAAGATGTAATAGAACTTATAAATGGAGTTGTCTCGTATAAAAAACAGACAGTAAATCTTATTTATTTTGTCTGATCTTTTTAATGGAATTAGATTACATATATCCATTTCTGAATATCCCTTATGCCAGCCCTTAAATAAAATATCCAGGCTCTGAATCGTAACATAGAGAAGAAATGAGTCTTTCTACAAATATTAAATGGGCATCAATGGTGTAGAGATGTATACATTATTATTCGACTGCATACAAACGCAAGGGAATTCAAGCACGTTTTAAAATATTTAAATTTTGTATCAAAGAGATGTGAAACGTAAACTGGGAGATTGATATTTTATTCTGAGGATTGATAATGAAAGTAGATTGAGAAATAAAAGGAGGAGTAATCCCATATTATCAGAAATAAAAATAGATAAATAGTGTTATAATGGCACTGTATTAGCTTCTCCAAGGGTTTATATCTACTTTCCCCGACACCACTTCTCGAGATTTTATGAATTTATGGCAGCTCTCCGAACACAGATTTTCATAGGAAATACAATGGTTTTCTTGTAAAGACTGTCATTTCGTGAATCATTATTTGCAATATAAAGGTATTATGTTATAAAAATTGTTGTCTATAGGGGATTGTATCTCATTTTTACACTAGGTTTCATTATGGTATTATCACTATTAGCACTCCCAAGGGCAGGCCGAATAAATCAGGGAAATACCTATAAATCATGTATACATTGCACCTTTAAACCAATATACCTTTAAAGCTTACAATGATAAATTTTTAATATGAAGCATGTCTGTGTGTGGAGTGAAGCAGCCCCTTGAGTTGCTCGATTCTACAAATTGCAAAATAAGATTAAATCGTATTTCATATCGTCATGGCTACTTCACAGGTTTTTCTCTGTATTTGAATAAAGTGTCTGATTTTCTTGTGTTTTTATATTTTAGAGATTTTGTATTAATTTGATATTATTTGTTCCTCGTTAAATTCATTCCTTTCCACTTTTACAATTGAAAACATGTCTACAGTTATATTTAACATGATTTCCACATCAGAAAAATATCACAATTAAGCCATGTTTTGAAGCAGAAAAAGAGTGAAAAAGAGAGAAATCAGCAAGGAATAAAGTAAACAGGCATGTAGCAAAGTTAGCAAACACTCTTAATTCTGAAAAATGACCAAGAACCAGACACTTTCTTTAAATTTTACAGAGAAATGGAATGAAATAAAAATGACCAGTGAGAAATTATGTCTTTGAAAGTTTACGGAAAAATCGAAGCACAAAATGATATCAATTTTTACAGTTTTCTCTGGAGTATACCACTCTCAGAAAATCACTCAGAGTAATTTAAATTCAGTAATTGAATCATTTATCATCTTTTGAATGTAATATTGTATAATCTTTATGTTAACTGGTAAAATTAATCAAAATGTTTCATGTCATGGGTCAGTGATGTCCACAGGATTTTTTCTCAAGTGGGTGCAAAATTCTCATTTTCACAATTTAGACCAAAATTGATCAAAATATGCCAATTTTCCATGATTTTTCTCATTTTCAAGTGGGTGCAATTGGATTTTCAGATGGGTGCAAGCCTATTTTCAAAATCTCAGGTGGGTGCAGCACCCACTTGCTTGAATCCTAGGGGGATCACTGTGGGTTGTACTCATTTTTCATATTTAAGATCATGCATTCATTGAAGAGTACCTTAGCAGGGGGCCATTTCATAAAAAGCATTTCCGAAATTTCAATTGTTTTTTTTCTCTATAGCCATGTCAGTGAAGTTGTTATTTATTGTTCATGTAATGTTGCTAATAACTTGGAATGGACAATCCTCACACCCCGGGTTCAAATGTTGTTGGAGTAATGTGTGTAATTTGAATTTCTGATTGATTTTTTTATTTGTCAGTCCAAAAATAATGTGTTTACTGGAATGATATAAATATTGTTAAAAATAAAATTGTAGCTGATGATATGTTTTATAAACTGCCCCCAGATTTCCATATATTCTCATTATTATTTACTAGTGTGGAAATCAGAGGGGGCAAATTGTAAGTATTAGAATGATTTCTCATGTTTTGTACAGGGTGACCCCAAAAAAATGCAACCCTCCAATTCTTCAATATTTTTCTGAAATGGAGGTTAATTGCTCTGGAATTTGGCACACAAGGACTTCATTCAATGTTGGATCCTCTGGAAAAGTTTCAATAATCATAGTCTTATATTGATAGAGTTATGGTATATAACAGAGCAATTTACCTCCATTTAAGAAAAATATTGAGGAAATGGAGGGTTGCATTTTTTTGGGGTCACCCTGTATATATTTTTTATACTTTGATTTTATCTCCATAAATTGATCATCTAGTATTGGTTAAGGGATCTTAATTCTTTTTTTAGATTTTGTTATAGCTTAATCATATATTCCTTTGCTATTTTTTTTGATTTTTTTTAAATCACCAATCAGAGTCTTACTTGAGTTTAACTCATATTTGTATGAAACTACTATTTTATAAGATGGTTGAGGTTATGGGTCTAACAATGTCTGATTGTAGTTATGGTTTCACTTATCAATTTTACGAGGATTGTCCCATAACAGTTAGTTCAGAACTTATGGGACAACCCTCGTAATTTATCACATTCTTTCTTGTTTTTGCTATTTCTGGATAACACTTCTTCATTATGTATTCATTACTTTGGTTTAGGCGGTTTTCATTCTCTGAATGCATGACTCCAGATATCATCTTTTCTGTACCTTTCTTCTCAAAGAGCGGTTGATGTCTTGAGACCTATTTGTATTGGTATATATTGCATGAATGGTGTTTGGTTGCTTGGTGGTCAATAAATGGTGTTTATCCATGGTACAGTTATGGCTCTGTGAGATACACCCCTTTCAAAATTTTGCAACATTTCAAAAGGTACACTCCCTTCAAAAGAATGGTATCTGAAAGTGCCCATTTGGACCATATTATAAAGGCCTTATATGTTATCTGATTTGAAAAGGCTCATCAAAGTCTTATTTTAGACCAGGCAATTTTGGAACATAATTAAGATTCAAACATGAATATTCTGTAGGCCTGTAGCCAGGGGGGGGGGCAAAAAACTTTCAATATCATGTAGTTTTTCACCATTCACTTTTTAAGTGATTTTGGCCATTTTTGGACCAAATTTGTCACAAGTGAACCCCCCTGGAATTTTTCAAAAAGTGACCCCCCCCCTTGGCAAATCCTGGCTACGGGCCTGTTCTGTTACATATTATCCCATGGGAACTGTCAATTGCCATACTTATCGAAAGGGGCTGTATGTTATATGTGACATATGTGTGTCGATATATACCTAACCCTCTCATCAAAGTCCAAGAGACAGTGACAGAGAGATTTTAACCTTGAAGCTGCTAAAACTAAAATTCCTTTATTCTTCAAACTAAGCTACTCAAACTTTACAATAGATGCGTCTAATACCTTTAGTACAATCTAAACCCTAAGATGAATGTCAATTCTTATTTCATTTCTTGGTATCATGTCTTATACAATAAATACGTGTACAATAACAAGAACTTATGCCTCAGTCATATTTGATCTGTGGGAACTGTTCGGCGGCCTTTGGTGGAAATAATAATTTGCAGGAAGGGTATCGTCCCATCAAAATTGATCTGCCCTCACTTAGGATCTCATTTTCATTGTTGAATGTAATATCATACTCATATCATACTCGATATTGAGATAGACTTTCGTCATTTCTTCAATTTATATTTAAACAACACATGTGTTTGAATTAAAAGTCAATTAAACACTTAGAAAAAGGATTGACTTTCAAAAGTTAATCGCATCTTGATGTATGGAGGTGAAGCTCAAGATGAGTAAATTGATAGATATTGTGACGTAGAAATGAAGTGCTTTTGTTTCGGCGGGACTAGAATATCACTTTTTAAGTGAGTTCATAGGCAGAGTGAGTGCATTGCCTTGTAACATTTCACTTGTACTTATTTATAATTTATGACATCAGAAAATGTTTATTGATTTAAGAATTATTGGATGGAGAGCTTGGTTCTATGAACAAAACTTCAATGATTAACAATCTACGGCACGAAATATCACTAAAGTCATATTTTCAAACATGAAATAAAGAGTATTAGAGTGAAATTGGTGAGGGGTAAAATAGAAAACATGTAGCTAACACTCTAAATTGTATAGAAATGCAAGAAAATCAGACACTTCATTCAAATTTTAGAGAGAAATTGAGTGAAATAAGCATGAGCAGACGGACATTTTCTAAATCAAAGAATGCCCTTAATCTAATCATGCCTTGTGATATAACATACTTTCCATGCATAATTTATCAGGAGTATTATGACTCTTACCTCAAAGTAAAATTATACTAAATGAACACAGTTCAATAAATAGAAATGCGGTTACAAAATTTTCCGTCTGCTCGCATTACATCCTGATTTTTCTTTCAAAAATTTGAATAAACTGTTTGATTTTCTTGTATTTTTCTATAATTTAGTATCTTAACTACATGCCTGTTTACTTTATTCCTTGCTTATTTCCCTTTTCAACTCAATTTTTAATTCTAAAACAATGGGCATCATAAAATTATTTCCATGGGTGTTACAATAAAAGGAAATGGCTTTGGACAAATATCAATGATTTCTTGGCATTCATTATTCTACTCAATAAACATAATAGACGAGATAAGGTTCTAAATACATAAAGCAATGCCATGTCTTGGAATAAATTTATACATTTTTTGTATAAGCCTGGGACAGATTTAGATGAAACAAAATAGTACAAAATAGAAGTGGATAGAAATCAACAATTTCATTTTTGTCATTTCCATTTTCCATCGAAATGAATTCCTAAAATATTACCTTAATTGGGATATTTTGAGAAATACAAAAATTGACTGAGAAGAATTGAACTGTCAAAAATAAAGTTGACAATATATGTAGATAATACTCTAAATTAGATAAAAATGCAACAAAATCAGACACTTTATTCAAATTTTTGAGAGAAATAGAGTGAAATAAGCATGAGCAGACGGATAATTTAGAAATGATATCTGTATAATATCCTCAAGAGGCCAAAATCAATGAAACTTGATCAATCTTAAGTACCAATAAGTAACAATGAAATGCACCATTTCCTGAATTAGTTAGTCAGTGCCATAATTCTCGAAAATAAATCAATGGCCACCTATATTTCAATATGAGTGATATTCCTGAGTAAATATTGAGTAACTGTTTGAGTATATGGGTATAGAATATTTGAAATGCATGGGTTTATGTTTGGTTATCTAAAATATATAGTATGTGTATATGTACATGTATATTAAATGAATTTTCTGACATATTACGTGATTACGCAAGCTGCTTACATTAGAATTTCTTTAAATGTACCGTATAAAATATGATTTGATCATATTCTTTTTAATTTTCTTTATATTTTTATTTCAGCCATGCAAATCTAAAGAATGTAATCGTGGACAGTAACAAGTAAGTAACAAAACTGTAACAAACTCACATAATTCATCTCTTAAATGCAAAATACAGTGGAAATAAGTGAAATCAGCAAGGAATAAAGTGAACAGGCATGTAGTCCATATACCAAATTGTATAGAAATGCAAGAAAATTGTATATGTCATTGAAATTTTAGAGTGAAATCAGCAAGAAAGGAAGTGAACAGACTGTAGGAATTTAGATAATCCTTTGAAGACGTGGGTAAGGCACTGTAAGCCCAATCCATGACGTGATATCATGCATACACGGAAATATTGATCAAACTTAAATCTTAACAAAACAATTCTTTCTTCCTCAAAATTTGCATAAGAACCAGCTTTTTATTTTTTAAGAATGTTTTCTACATGTCTCCTTATGTCTGTTTACTCTATTCCTTGGTTATTTCACTCTTTTATACTTTATTTTGCTTTTCAAACATGACATTCATCAATGGCCTTTGGATTTTCCTTGGATCTTATACATTGCCTTTGCCGGTGGCAGATTCGAGGACTTAGTCATCACGGATCTGTCCACTCGGGAGCAATCAACCAATCAGCCACCAGAACTAATGAGTTCCAATAGCTTCTTCAGAAGACACTTGTTAAACACCGTGAAAAAATCGTGAAAATACCATAGCGATATTTGTTTGATATAAAATGTCTTCCGAGATGCCAGGTTCACTTCATTCTACAACTTATCTCAGTAAATCACCTTACCTTTTTCATAAGCAGTAAAATATACATAAAAAAAAGAAATACATAGATATTGAATTTTGAGTAAAATGGTTTTGTACTGTTATTACAAATTATACTGAAAAATTCCATAACTGGAAAGAGATACATTTCTTTTTGTTTCTCTCTGTTTGTCCATTATGTAAACCTAAATATTAACCAAATATTTATAAAATAAATAACTTTTTGTTTTTCCAGCAGGGATCCAGATGTAAGTTCCGGAGATTCAGAAGCTAAACTTGTTAGAGTCCGACCATCAGAAACGGCACCTCAAACTTTTGCAAGAGCAAGGTATAATACTTTTTTCATTGACATATCCATTTTTCAAGATTTTGACATTTTTACATTATTGTTTCAAAGTAATTACTAATATTCTAATAATTTGTGCGTGTTTTTATAAATACTTGCAAATAATTTAAAGTAATATTAACAGAATGTTTTAGCTTTATACTTCAAAGTTTTGCTTTGTATATAACCAATTAAAACTATGGAGGCATATTTCTAAATTAATTGAATTCCGGGACATTTAACATAGCACATACTGATTTCATGCAATTTTTACACACATGTATTTTATTGATCAATAAGTTTTGAGAAATTGTGCGTAAAGTTGACTTTTTATTTAAGGTATTATAGATATTATTTTTCCATTTCTTGTTAAACAAGGCCCATACTATACTTCTGATTTGAGAACCCCTTTCTCAAAACTTATTGATCGATTTTGTATATGTAGTAATTTCCTGAACTTTCAAACTAACATTTTTTCCCATGGCCAGTCGCAAAAACACTTGCTACACAATACATAGAATTACACACAGAAATCAATTTAGCAAAAATCAATTAATTGGTCTCTTATTTCCAAGAACCCAGTTTTAGAAATTCCCACAAGTTTTTGAAGAATGGTAGAAGTAAGACATTTAATTTCTGAAGACTATATAAAATAGATCAGGGTGTAAAAGTAAAACAATGCGGATGCTGCCAATCTTTTGGATAAAAATTCCATAGCATATTTCGATTAAGCAGAAATCATTAATGTTTATATAACCTAAATCGAAAGCTCTGAACACAAGATCTTTATTGTTATTAGATTTTTCATTTTTATAAATAAGTATTTTAATAAATGTGGATATTTGAGTGTGAATATACAAAGTGTCAACAAAGTATCTTTATAATTATAATACAAAGTCTCTATAAAGTATAGAGACACCCTGTACAGTAAAACCTGTCCGATGGAATACCTCTCTGTAGGGAAAACCTATGAACAAGGAATGCTTTTCAAAAGAACCAAATATTTTTCCATTGACTTACATGTTAACGAACCCTCTCTGTAGGGAAAACCTTTGAACAGGGAACAAGGAACACTATTTTGGGGCAAATTATGAAAATTCACCTGTGAACAAGGAATATGGAATATTGTATACTGTATATTCCATTATTTTTCAGAGGTGTGAAAGTCTTAAGCCAATATCTGATTCTAAAAAGCTTGGATTAATATGATAGAGATTAATTGTTTACAAGATGTAGCGTCCCACCCACTGTTAATTACCCTGATATATTTTAAAACTAATACAAATCTGTTACTTATTATCATGACACTAATTTTTCCGTTCAACAAACATAAATTAATTACATCAAATCAGTTGTGATAATCTACATAGGGACTGACACAATTGTTTTCTGAAGATAACACCTAGATAAGTACATGTGTCATGTTGAGCAAAATCTTTTACTGATCCAAACTTCTAGATTATCAATGATATAAAATGGGGTTGATGAAACTTGAAATCAGTTCTTAGCAACATATCTGTACACATCATTTCAATAATTACATCAACTAGACATCATCAGTAGCTAAAATCAACAAAGAGAGAACGCTCCTTTCCCTCAGCCATTGGAGGGAGATGGGAGACCTTCATACATCTTGCAAGATGTTACAACAAGGTCTAGCAACCAAGTATGGTCAATCAATGCCCATATATTTACAAATATGCTTATTCGGCAAGTTTGAGTTTGCTGAAAGTGAAGCCCCTCTCTATAGGGAAAACCTCTGAACAAGGAAACTTTCCTCCAGTCCCAAGAGCATTCCCTGTTCGCAGGTTTAACTGTATATTGTGTCAAATTCAGGGATATTTAATTAAATGAAGACAAATTGAGATGTTCAAATTAATTAAATAGATAAAGGTTAATTTCTAATCAGGGACTTGATTGCCTTAGCGGGAATTCTGTCCCCTTAGGCTTATTCTACTCATTTCTTTAAATTTTCAATGCATTTTTTCCTGCATTTCCATATATAAGAGTGTTAACTACATGTCCTTTAACTTCAACATTTCCTTACTCCTTTTCATTCAAAATTTGAGTAAAATGTCTGATTTTTTCTGCATTTTTATTCAATTGAGCATTAACAACATATTTTTATTCCTTACTGATTCCACTCCTTTTTGCTTTATTTTGCATTTCCAAAAATGTCATCATGACCCATGGGTGCAACTCCTCAAGATGAAAGGCTAGAAAAAACGTGTGGAACAGAGGTCTCCATTCATTATCCATATCTCTATCCAGAACTAAACATGTTACCGGTGTTAGGATATGACGCAATATTATGGAGACCTTTGTTTTATTATTGCGTAAAACGATGATATCCGGCATTAGATTGCAATTTACAATTCAATCCTCGACTCGTGTAAATTGATGATTCGTGTTTAACTTCACAATCCTAGATGTTTCTATCACGTAACCAGAGCCGTATATACTTATCAAAAGAAGTAGTGCTGTTCAAAGTATCATTGCAAACTTGATACCACATACCTGATAGAAATTGATTTTCCTCTGTTCATACAAGATATTGATATCAACGTTTGGCTTCGCCAAAACATAGCAACGTATTATGTAAATACTTATGACTGGTGTACTCTAAGATGATTTCTTTTTCTTATTCTTACTTTTTCCGTACTATTTTTTGGTCCTTTATCTTTTGCATTTGTGCATACATATTTGTGATTATGTTATATAATAGACAAGGATATAATCAGAAAGGAATGTAAGAAACAACAGGAAGTGAACACTCAATTGAATTTGAATTTTTTTATTTTCAACAAGAACTATCGCAGTGACGACAGCATAAATGGCATGTTCCCGTGTTCTTGTTGATGATGTTTATAGTCACTGAAAGAACGTGGCGTTAGACAACTATGCTTTCTTTTTGAATCGTTACGTTCTCAATAGTATTTTTCCAGACTTTATTTTGCCCATTTTATTACCATTTTCATGGAATCAAAAAATCAAAGATAAAGAAAATCAGTATGTTGGTGATTTAAGTTGGGTCATGGTGATTCAACACTTAGATAGTATCCTATTTTTTTTTGTTATCTTGATTGATTAAAAGAGAGAGTCTCCGAGGGAGAAAGTCAACACATTGCTTTTAGTCCTCAAGTGGTTTCCTGAATGTGGTCATCATGTTTCAAAACTCAAAAGGTCATGAAAATAAGTTAGTTAACCACAAAATGAAAAATCAAGCGTGTAGATGAGATTATAAATTTGATAAAAATGCAAGAAAATCAGACTGTTCATTCAAATTTAAGAGAGAAGTTAAGTGAAATATCAGAGCAGACGGATTTATATTTATTAACAGCAAAAGTATCACTTTCAGTGTTGTATAAGACATTGATATCTATTTTATAAGTTTCCATCATACCTGGATGCCTGGATGGGTTTGCTCTGTCATGTATACCAAATTCCTGATTTATTGCAATTGTTCATGATTCAGAGCACTTTTTGCATGCTCGTTCACGCCATTTCCTGTATTGAACGCTGTGACATTTTCCCGCAAATGTCAGAGAGACATTTGACACGTCTTTTGATCAATTCAGTTAATCATGGAAAGTCTAAATAAGTCACAATGGTCTTGTTCTCGGTTTTCTTTTCAAAATCCACAAAAGTCATTTTAAAGCAAAATAAAATGAAAAGGATAAGGAATAGCAAGAAACAAAAATAACACTCATACATATAATTATGAAATGCCAAAACATCAGACACTTCAGTTGATGTTTACAGAGAAATGTACCGAAATAAAAATGACTGATGTCAAATTTTAAACATAGGCATATATGCTTCAATTGAATCTATTGATGAAAAAATTCTTGTTATATTTCATCATCATTGAGTGTCACTTGGATCTTGTCGTCAAAATTCCTGAAAAATCAATTGTCCCGTCAACTTGAAAATTTTACAGATGCAATACCAGACTAGTGCCAATACCTTATCAGTTCTTTTATCCTATTTGATTTTGACATAATTGTCAGTGCTGTTTGGAGACCATAAAGTGCAAAAATCGTGTCCTAACTCACTAAATTAGTTTCTTGTCCTATAATGAAATTAATGGTCTTTTACTATGTCATAAAAAAGATATATGTGACATCCTAAATCATGGTAATCTAATTTTAGACGGACAAGTCTGGTCCAGCGGAAGTCGTAATTGGTTTATTCAGAATGTGGTCTAAATTACCAATATTGTAGCTTTATTTTTTGGGTGCATTTATTTTTTTGATATTATCATCCTGTTGTTTTGGTAGAAACTTGAATTCTAAATCAAATCCATTTTTTTGTACAATTCATTCAGTTTAACGTAATATCACAGTCTTTAATAACATTATGCATAGTACTATTTAATAAATGTTTCTTTGAAGTCACATAAATAATAATATCACAGTCTTTAATAACATTATGCATTGTACTATCAAATAAATGTTTCTTTGAAGTTACAAAAAATAATTTTATTTGTGCTTTTTATACGTATTTAGGAAGAGGTAACTTTGAAATCACTTTTGAGATTTCTTATCCTTAGTTTCAATCCCTTAGCTGATCAATCCCATAATAGGACTTAGCTTTGAAGTTTCCTATGTCAAACATTGTGACTTCTTGTCTTAAGATTCTTCAGTTTTCTAAGATTTACCAAAATACCATGTCTAAGTAGTAAATATGCACTACCTATTTGACACTAATCTATACAACACTGATTTCTATATATTCAACTGACATATATCACATACCGATCTTACGTGATATGATTGCATTAAACTCCCACACTCAAATTATTACTATAGAGCCAAATTAAATGATGGTGGTCTAAATAATCAAAATAATTGAATCATATTATTGTACATGTATATTATATAAATCATTATTAATGAATAGATTTATTTTCCTAAATTGTCTTGTTCATTTCTTTGTCTGAAAGTTAAGTAGAGTATATTTAAATTGAAATGGACTAATGAGTCCCATACAACTAAATTGATTTCATTCATATCACTCATAGCGATGCAGTAATTAGTTACATTTAGTACATTTAGGTTACCAATGTAAAATTAGTGTAAAACATGAAATTATCCTAGAATTTAGCACTTTTGCATCATGTACCAGGTTTATATACATTTCTACCACTTTGAATGTCTTCTCCTTATGCAATATGAAATTATTTGCTATATAATATACATTTTGTTTCATTAGAAAAAAGATAAACTGTAGCATTTATCATAATTTTTAGCATTTTGCTTTTCAGTAAATACCAGTTGCTCAAGAAGTTTGAGGAATTTTTTTTCTGATCCTAAAACATCTTGGACAATCTTGGTATTTTGATGTTTCATTAAATGAAAATATAGATCATAGATCATATATTTCATTTTGTCTTATCTCCTTTTTACATAGAGTCTAATTAAGATGATACTGTTGTTCATATTTTCCCCATTTTCCAATATTTTTACATACATTTGTATTTAAAAAATTTTAACACAGGTAGATATTTTTCCATTATATTTTGATTCCACAGATATATATTTTCCCACATTTTTTTCCCTATATTATAATACAGATATATATTTTTCCCATATTATTCCAGTTCTTCCATTACATTTTTGATACATAGAAACTTATTTCCCATATTTGAACACAGCTATGTATTTTCCTATATATTTTCCCATATTTCAACACAGATAATATATTTTCCCGTATTTAAACATCGATATATATTTTCTTTGTCAGTATTTATTTTTCCATTATATTTCTTTTACAAAGATACATATTTTCGAATGTTTTAACACAGATATATTTTTTCCATGCGTTACACAAATATATATATTTCCCATATATTTTCAATATTTTTACACAGATATTTATTTTCCCATCTTTTAACACAGATATATATTTTTTCCATGCGTTACACAAATATATATATTTCCCATTTATTTTCCCATATTTTTACACAGATATATATTTTCCCATCTTTTAACACAGATATATATTTTTTCCAAGCGTTCCACAAATATATATATATCCCATATATTTTTCCATATTTTTACACAGATATATATTTTTTCCCATATATTTTCCCATCTTTTAACACAGATATATATTTTTTCCATGTGTTACACAGATACAGGTGAAAAACCTTCGCTAACCTGAACATTAATGTCTATATTTATTCTGCATGTGGGCATGGTTTATTTCCCTGAATTGATTTACATATCAGCAGTCAACGAATATTTCGACTATTTATAAGAATTTATTGCTGCCAGTTGTGATTATCATTTATAAGAAGCAGCCTACAAATGTTGTGCTCATGCACAAAAACCAACCTGCCAACCTACTTAAGAAGCTGAGTCTATAAAGTTTGTGTGCATAAACAAGAAGCAAAATACCAATGTTGTGTTTATGTACAAGAAGCAACATACCAATTTTGTGTTTATGCACAAAATCCAAACTACCAACCTTCTTAAGAAGCTGAGTCTATGAAGTTTGTGTGCATAAAGAAGAAGCAACATACTAATGTTATGTTCATGTACAAGAAGCAACATACCAATTTTGTGTTTATGCACAAAATCCAAACTACCAACCTTCTTAAGAAGCTGAGTCTATGAAGTTTGTTTGCGTAAAGAAGAAGCAACATACCAATGTTATGTCTATGTACAAGAAGCAACATACCAATAACATGTTTGTCAAAATACTTTGGCTTACATTTGCAATGTTGACTGCTGAAATGGTTCTCTTAATGCACCCTATTGCTTATCGCATGTTTTCTCTGTTGGTCTTGTTGATCCTATATGTCAGTAATGTTCCTCCCTGCCTTATGCTACATCCAATCTGCACCCCTAGATATGTAATCACCCTCTGTGTGTCATGTTCAAATTCATCTCTCATGTTCTTATTATGAGTCTTCTTTAACGAAATATCATTCAAAATATCAGTTATTTCCACATTTAACCAGATGAGGTTGCAAAAACTGGATCTGTCTGCATAAATCCAGTTCTCTGCTTATCGTTAAGTAGTATCATCCAGTACATTCACCATTCAAGCCATTAGAAGACTGGTTTAAACCAGTTCATCCAACATTAATCCACCATTTATACCAGTTCTAACCACTATATGCAGGTTTAACCATATTGGGCCAGTAAGGAGCTTCACAAACCAGTTTTATCCCTCTCCAAATCAGTTTTCTCCCAGTTTAGTTTCAACTTCCTAGAACCTGTTCAAACCAGTTTGGACCAGGGAATATTATTCATAAAAAATTATATCTAGTTTAAAACTTTCATGGCATCCTGTTCCAACTTTGTAACTAAGAAATTTTGTTTTTGATGAAGAATACAATTTGCTTATGCAATCAAATATTTCTTTCCTGTAACTTACTTGTCCCTGCATGCTTCCTATGTGTGTCCAAATTGTTGGAAATTTTAGAACCCACTTTCTCATAACTACCCCTTTTCTACTAAGCAATGTAACCCTTCTAGCACCCTAATATATTCAGGTCTAAAATTTATGACTTCTTTCTCTTTGATCATGAAATGTTAGTTAAGGTTGATTCGCTTTCTTACTGCTTTCAATAAAAACTATTTTCTTTGGTATTTGGAAAAATCACGGTTTAATTTTGCTTATAGTTCCTGTTATAAGGTAAACCTCGATTGCATGTTAGAAAATATGTATGTTTTATAGATTTTTATTAAAAACTGCTAGATTTTTAGTAATTTTAAAATTTAATTGCAAAATATTATAAAACTGCATGAGGCTATAATTTTTGTGCAATATTATCTTATGATATATTTTAAGATAAAGACCGTTACTCATTTTGGCTTTCTGTACGAACTTTATATTCTATGATCATGTATTGATCGAACATCTTCATTTTTATTAAATTGAGTTCATTCTTCATTTGATAAAATTTGCTCAAATAGCACTTTTTGTCTTTTTCAGCCTCACTTTATAAGCAATGCATGTTTATGATAGTTTAGAGCAATTGTGATCTACTGTACTTTATTTTGCATTTTTGATGAAATTTGATAATTTGGATAGTGATTTCATTCCATCAAGTTTGTGTTTTAGATTTCGCCATGCAGCAGTTAGATCAATGATGGGAGGACGTAGGTCACATCCTAAATCAGCGCCATCTGGCAAATTAAAGATGGTTGATGTTGTAGAAACTGTCCGAACAGATCACCATCTTAACATATTAACTCCCTCCGAAGGTTTGTATTGATATAAACATTATATATGATTAATATCTTGAGTTTCCAATGATCAGAAACATAACTGAAAGATGCATTAATGAAAAGTGCTGAAACATTCAACGATCAAAATCATATAAAAAAATTATCAACAAATTTTCAGGAAAGATGCAATTCAGTTATCACAACATAGCTGTAACAGTTAACGCAATAATCTGTTCATGATTCTTTTTGAATTTCAGATTTATTTGGGAAGTTCACATTTGCGGCACCAAGCTATTCAGTTCTAGAAAGTGCAGGAATCTTAGAGATAGATGTACTCTTCCATAGACGTCCCCCGTGAGTGAAAATTCCTTGCTTTTATTATCTCTTACATGTACATATAGTTGATTTGAATATATCTGATTTAATTTGAAGATTGCTCGATCTTCTTAATGCTTTTATTGAATCACTGCTTTTGTGAATGACTTTGGAATCTTTTGATTCATTTAAGAATTTTGAGACACATTTCCATGTAGAGTTTTGAGACACCTGTTTGGAATTAGCTCCCATAGGAATGTTTGCTCCAACTTATTTATTTCCCCATATGCAAAATGTCATTTAGGTCACGTTTCCATCCTTCTTTCAACTTTCATATGTAGAAAATTGTGAGAAAAAATAAATGTTTCAAAATTTACTAATTTTCAGAGCGGAAGGGTAAAAATACTATCCTGACATATGAAGAATTTTTTTAAAAGAAGAAAATATGTTCAAACATTTTTCCAATAAAAATTAATCAGAGTGAAAAAGAGTTGAATAAACAACATGGAATAAAATAAATAAGCGTGTAATGAATACAGAAACGATTATTAGAAATGTCTCAAATTTTCTCCTCTCCCGTTTCTCCTTTTTAGAGAAATTGATTGCTGTTCAAATAAGGGAAGAGTGCATTATTGACCAAAATGACATTTTCAAAATGGGTGTGTAGGTCAAACATGTATGTCATGGTGCCTGGATTGGTAAAATTCAAGCAATCCAGGTACCTTTCTGGGGGGAGGTCTATCGAGTTAAGATGCAATGAAACCTTTATATCTGAACACCTCTCAATGTGAACATATTTTTTGAATCTGTCATAGACTTCCTTGCTAGACAGACCTAGAAATGTGAACACCTGCCAATCCAAACCCTTTTGGCTGGTACCGCTGGTGTTCAGATTAGACAGGTTTTATATATACGGTATTGAATGACCCCTTTAGACCCCCCCCCCCTCTTGTGTTCTATCACTATTACATGTTTTTTTCATTTGTTGCTTTCTTAGAGCTTCCGACAAAAGACACATCCAAAATCACGGAAAGAGGTATTAGTTGTACAGATATAGTCACTCATTCATTTGGCATTGTTTTTTTTTATTTGATTTGTGCTGTGCTTGTCATGAAGTCGTGTTCTATTTAATAGATGGACGAGGTCAGTATATTGACGTACAAACATGATTGGTTACATTTTGCGGAATGAATAAAACCCCTTTTACGATTTCATATTTATCAATTTCTAACAGGAAACATATTTTATATTTGAAAATAATCTTTTTTGTTCAATTTTTATTAAATGTTTTGTATGGAGGGGTGAAAACAAAAATGTGATTTATGATGTTTTTGGACAATTGATATTCTGATCTGGTCCTTTATTATTATCATGACAATATTCACACACATTATATTGTGGTTAGCCAAAGCATGATTTGTGAACTCCCTAAAATGTATAGAAATGCAAAAAGTGAGTGAGTTTAGTTTATTCAAATTTTAGACAGAAAATTCATAAAATTAGGGTTGAATTAAGAGTAAATATAGACACAATGTGGAAAATTATCATGATTAAGAATGGAGAAATACTCCCTTTCCTTGTGTTTTCATCAATGATTATATTCAAAATTGTAAGGTTCAATGTGTTATAATTTTATTTTTTTTGTTATAAGTGGCAAATACTGATTCAATTAAAATAATATGCCGTTGTACCTTTAAACACATAGTGTCTGTAAGTCCTATAGCTTATTTGGAAGGCAACTATTTGTCCATTCTGTCTAATGATTTTGAAAAGGTTGTGAATGTGTTTGATTTTCTTTGTTTGACATGATTGAGTGTGTTGCACATCGTTGTTGGCCTAATACATAAATTATTGTTAAAATTCCTGACTGTTAGGATTTTTTATTTAAAGTGCATCACAAAAACTAATGCACTGACATAAAAATCTAAAAGTCAAATGTTGTGATGAGTCTATAATATGTAACTCATTTAAGAAACCAGGTCATTTTGTCCCATACCCCTTTGGCCTTGGTTAGTCCCAAAAGTGATTTATTTTATTTTTCTTCAAGTTTGCCATATACTGCTTGGGATAACAATAAGACTCTAGAAGAACTCAGAAATATTGGTTTAAGCAGTCCCCCAATGAGCCCAAGCAGTCCCGGTTTATTTAGTCCTCGGACAGTTTTCTGGACTCCAAGTCCAAGAATAAAGAGAACTCAAAGTCCCCAGATTAACAGGAGTCAAAGTCCTCAACTTACCAGGACTCCAAGTCCTAAGTTTGGGATGGTTTTACCAGATGGTGCAAATTTCCCTAGAAGGCTGCTCCCTATGGATTCCAGTCCTCTTATATTAAGGTTTGAATATGAAATTTTAGTCCAGTAGCTAAAGTCCCCACATTATATAAGTTTAGAATAATTAATCCAACACGTTTTTCCCCAATATTTCACGGTCTTAATTATAGAAAATAGTACAAACAATTTGTGTTTTCAAGCTATAATGCATACAGGCATGATGATACTGTTTTAAATATCTTCTTGCAAAATAAACTTTCCCACAACAAAGAGTTCTCCCTGCTTTATAAAGAAGATTACATAAGCTTTGTTTTCTTGCTATTAAGTAGTAAAATAAGTCCAAGAAAAAATATTGCCTACTTTAAAAAGTAGAGATTGTATTCCCCTATTCATTGAGATAGAAGGACACATTTTCCGTCACCTCTTATGAGTCACTAGAGTTCAATGATTCTTGTCACAAAAATAGTTCCCATTTTGATGATTGTGTGAAGAAAATAGCTCCCATAGACAAGATAAATGCACCGAGTCACATTATAATTCCCCATAGTGAGTTAATTGCACTATTTTAGAGGAAATAGTTCCTATAGTTAAGATGAATACACAAGACGAATGTCCCCAAGTTAGTTAGATAATTGTACTGGTCATTACATAGTTCTCCTTCCGCTTGATTGGTCTATCTGAGTATCAATCAAGGAGAAAGTAGGAATCTTAATGATTAATCATGTACAATACCCAAGAATATAATCCCATAATTGGAATCATTTTAAATGCAAATAGCATGGAAAAGTGAGGAATTAGTGAGAAATGAAATACATAGGTGTTTGGGTGATACTCTAAATTGTATAGAAATGCAAGAAAATCTAGAGGTTCATTCAAATTTTAGAGAGATATTGAGTAGAATAAAGATGATCAGATGGATCTTTTTCATGGGTAATCAGATCGTTTTAAGCATGTCCTTCACATTCCAGATTAATCAGATATAAGAAAACAATAATTGTCTCGATTTCTGAGAAAATTAAACATTTGGCCTTGTAATACGGATTATGATTTTTTTTCTCAAAATAGTCTTGAAAAAGCATGGAATCAGTAAGGAATGAATATAGCTAGAATATATTTACAATTTTATGAAAAAAAAACAAAAAGTCAAGAAAAAAAGTTTATCTGTACCGATCTTTTTAATGATCGTTATTGACAGAACTCTTGATAATCACGTTTCGTGTATTAACTCAAGGGCAGCCTACCTATCATCTTTGACTTTATTCGATTATCATTGATTTGCAAAATGTTTTTCTGACAGCAATTTAAGCTTCTTTATGGCCCTTCAGTGCACTGCTTCGCTCCTTTTCCTAATGATAGGTTATGCATGCAAATAATCTGAATTGAGAAATTGTTTTCAGCTTATAATTTGCAGTATGTCTGATTCTTAATCTCTAGATGAAGAGGACTCTGATAAATCAAAATGTATAATTTCCTTCAAAATCGAATAAGGTCTTTATTTTACAAATCACCTTTTGGACAAATGCTTTGAAGCTCTGGATAAAATTCTTTCAAAGTATATGACTAATTTTGATCACTGTGATATAATGCAGATGTGTAGATGACTATACATATAGATGACTATTTGTGGAGATGGCTATATATGTAGATGACTATGCATGTAGATGACTATGTGTGTAGATGACTATACATGTAGATGACTATGTGTGTAGATTACTATACATGTAGATGACTATGTGTGTAGATGACTATACATGTAGATGACTATGTGTGTAGATGACTATATATGTAGATGACTATACATGTAGATGACTATGTGTGTAGATGACTATACATGTAGATGACTATGTGTGTAGATGACTATATATGTAGATGACTATACATGTAGATGACTATGTGTGTAGATGACTATACATGTAGATGACTATGTGTGTAGATGACTATATATGTAGATGACTATGTGTGTAGATGACTATATACAAGGATGGCTATATATCACATTTTATTCAATCAAATTGAAAATGCATGTTTCCGTGTGTTTTTTTTTTCTTTTTGCTAATAGCTTCATATTCCACACCTTAAAACAAGAACAACATATTTAAAATTTTAAAATCTTAGATAATTAAGTACATGAGTATAGCAAAACTATTTTTGGGTATGAAGATTTTTCATGAAATCTTTGCAAGAAGATTTTTCATGAAATCTTTGCAAAAACATTGTTATAGGTTGATATTTAATCCACATTTTAGGATAGATAGTTCACATGCATTAATGTTTTGTATGTCTGAGTCCATGCAGTGTAGTTTCAATGCAGCTGCAGCACTGTTTAGTCCATTAACACTGCATGCATGGTGGAACACATAAGCGCACTATTGTTCATCAAATTTCATTGCATGTACTGTATTATTGCAAAACATGGTTAAATAAGACAATTTTCATGAATGCTTCGATATTATAGTTTTATTTATATAGATAAAATTTAGATTTATATATTTTAAACTTATTTTTACCAATATTTGATTATTAAACCTACAGCTTGATTTCAAAAGTTTGTATGTAGCTGTAAAATAGCTTTGAATAATTTGACTGAAGTTTATTTTGTATTAAGATTTATTATTTTACTATTTCAGGCCTAAAAGTTATATACAGGTATGTAAATAATTTAATAAAACAAAAAAAAATAAAATAAAAAAAAGATTTTGAAAAAGGCACTACATAGATTTTTAGTTCAGAAAACGACTCATTAATGTACATATAGTCAGGGCTAATAATCCATTGCATCAGCCCTTAGCTATTAGTTTTCTATTAAATCGTATTGACCTTTTTGGCTATTCATTGAACATTTATAAATTAAATTAATAAAATATATAATAAATTAATTTAAATTATAGAATAAATAAATTAAACACAATTGAGGATATGCATCCAGAAACTTAATGGATTCCCCTCGTATATAAAACATGTTAGATTTAACTTATTGAACACGCTGTATTTTTGGCTCGTTTCAGAATGGTGTGAGCAATGGAAAAACCACAGAGACATCATTTACGAATCCAATTTCAACCACAGCTGAAGAAGATGAAATGGTCAAAGGAACTGTTTCTATCGATTTTGAGACTCGGGAAGGTTCGGCAAAAATAAATAAAGACTTTAAATATACCCAAGGTTCATTGGTAAGTGTCCCAACTAGAATTGATTAACACGAGAAAAATGATGATCAATATATTAAGAAAATGATGATCAATGTCTTGAAAAATGATCACCAGTGTTTTGAAAAATGATCATCAATGTTTTAAAAATGATTATCGATGTTTTGAAAAATTCACTTTGGAGATTTCTATGCTCAGGGAGAAGAACATTGAATTGACTTAAATGAATGTAAATGTTGATGAAAGCGAAATCATTGATTCGAGTGTTGGTAACATGATATATGATTTCACTGCTTGAAAGACATTCTCATTTTTAATTATTAGTTTTTTGTGTTCATATTTTTGCATAAAAGTGTAGTTTTTATCAATAAAAGATATAAATTGGCAATTTAATGAAAAAACATTCTTCTAAACTGCATTTCCTTCAAATCCAAAATTCTATTTTCCCAATTGAACCTATAGATTAGATTTTTCTGAAGATAATTTGTTTGTGTCTCTTTTACAAATTTTGATTAGCACAAATATTAGTTCACGTGTACATTATTTTTTACTTTCAGGTCTTTTCCGAAACTGAATATAGAAAGTCGATCACGATTCCTATCATTAACGACAATCAATACGAGGCAGATGCCGATTTCTACGTCATCTTAAAAAATGCGCACGGAGGATCAGGGATCGGAGACCCCAGTGTGACGAGAGTCACAATTATTGATGACGATGGTGAGTTAGTGTGACAATTTCTCCTCGGGGAGATCTCATATCCTTAGGGAGCAGATATTAGCCTTTTATTGTATTTAATGAATTGTTCATGATGCAGATCTCATGGTTAGGCGTATGGTTACATGGTTATGTGTTAGACTAATGTATGTCTTTTTTACTGGAGAGCTTTCAGACCTAGTTTTTTTCTAGAGGTTTCTAAATGTTACATTCCTTCTAAGTATAGCATCAAACAGATGTATTGATTCCAGGAAAATCATTATAATTAATGAGTACAATGGCATTGTCTGATGTGTCATTGACCTTCATTGTTTTCCTCATTTATGAAATGTCATCCAGTGCGTATTGGCCCCCAGGATATATTGTCCAACTTTGGATTCTGCCATTCTAAATGGAAAAATAGAGCATATAACTGTCATTATCCCATCGAACGAAGTTCGGAGGGATATAGGGAACGCCTCCGTCCGTCCGTCCGTCCGTCCGTACGTACGTCCGTACGTACGTCCGTCCGTCCGTCCGTCCGTCCGTCCGTCTGTCCGTCCGTCCGTCCGGGCAATAACTCAAATACCGTTAGCCCGATTTTGTTCATATTTTGTACACATATACCCTATGGGGGTAGAAGTTCTGCTCGAAAGCCGATTTTCAAAATGGCCGCTCATTTCAAAATGGCGGCCATTTTAGTGCCGATTTTACAGTAATTTAGGTGTAATATGTAAAACTGTAATAGCAATATGTTTTAAATGTAAAAAAATTATAAAGGACATTAATAATGCTACAAATGTAGATATTAAAGAAGCACATGGCAGCCATCTTGAAAAATGGCGGCCTTTACTCGTCATTTTACGATTTTTGCTATAACTCAAAAAATAGTGGAGCGATTTTGTTCATATTTGGTATGTGAATACTATAAGCATTGCACACTGTCTAAAGACACTTTTGGTAGAAGGCGGCCGTTTTGAAAAAAATTTTGAAAAATGGCCGCCATTTTAATGTATTTACTATAACTCGAAAAGTAGTGGAGCGATTTTGTTCATATTTGGTATGTGAATACTATAAGCATGGCACACTGTCCTATGACACTTTTGGTAGAAGGCGGCCATTTTGAAAATTTTTTTGAAAAATGGCCGCCATTTTAATGTATTTTACTATAACTCGAAAAGTAGTGGAGTGATTTTGTTCTTATTTAGTATGTGAATACTATAAGCATGGCAAACTGTCTATTTCTAATGATATTTTTGGTAGACAGTGGCCATTTTGAAAAATGGCTGCCATTTTAACGTATTTTACTATAACTCGAAAAGTAGTGGAGCGATTTTGTTCATATTTGATATGTGAATACTTTAAGCATGGCACATTGTCTAATAAAACTTTGGGGAGTAGTCGGCCATTTTGAAAAATGGCCACCATTTTTATGTGTGTTATTTTACAAGTACGTGTGCGATTTTTCAAAAATTTTAGAGGTGGCTACTTAAAAGCACATTATTTCTTCTGATGACAACTTGGCTAGTGAGCAACCATTTTGAAAATGGTGGCCTTTCTGGTGTGTTGTTTTATGATATTTGCTATTCGTTTGTAAAAATGCCAGCCATTTCTGTTCGATGGGATTCGCTACGCTTTGGCGTTGCCGTTGTTCTGGTTGGAATTTAAGAAACAGAATTGAACGAAAATTGAAAGAATTTGATTTCAACAAAATTATACTGTAGGACATGTAGGAGGGGAGGGGGAATTATTATGAAATATTATCAGCACCTCACAAGGCCTTTCTCAGTGTATTAGTACTAGTTTAGAAGGGTTATATTTTTTTACTATTGACTTGACCAATAGGTGGCTAGTGGCAGGTCATAGTGGGCCATAGTGACATTTTTTTGAAAGCCCATGCTAAGACCAAGATTTTACTATGTTGCCAGCTGAAATGAGGTCATTGGTATATGAACTAGTTTTATTTATATTTCATATTTAAGGATCATTAATGAATAGTTTATATATAAATATAGATCTATTAGTAGATTATTTCCCCTTGCAAAAATATAGAAGAACATGATCCCTTCCAAAATATATGTAGAACTGCAAAACCTCATCTCTGGTCCGAGGGTATTTCACTTCTTTCAATTCCAAATGTTTGAAAGTGCAATGAAGCCTTTTGATGAAATATCGTAAAACCTAGCAAAAAATAGAAATTGGAAATAATAAATTGAGATCAATAAAAATTCAATCTAGAGAATCTATTGAAGGGTATATTGACATCGAGGCATGTTGACATTGAAAGCAGCTGAGGTATTGACATTGACATTGGAAAGCAATGAGGTGTTTTATAAGAACTATTCTGAGCACGCAGTTGCTTCATGTGCAATGGAAATAATTCCTCACTATGCCATCAAACACGATCAAAATCAGCGTAAAATTGACTTCAAGCCCGCTGATTAGCTCTTTATGGATACTGGAACATTTCAATATAATTTTGGATGAGGGCTTAATACGTTATAGACATGCAATACAGTGGGTTGCCCTATTTGCACTCCTTTTAGACCGGATATGAATATTTGAAGCGTGTACATTTTGGATTATTTATTTATAAGTACTTCATCAATTAGATTTACTTATATAATTTGTTTTGCATTCAATTGATTTGTATTGCTTGCTTGGTATTTCATCATTTTATATTCCATTGTATGGCATTCCATTATTTGATATTCCCTTGTTTGGCGTTTAATTGATTGATATTGCTTGCTTAGTATTTCATCATTTTGATATTCAATGTTTGAAATTCCACCATTCAATATTCCCTTGTTTGGCATTCAATTGGTTGGTATTGCTTGTTTGGCATTTCTTCTTGTGATATTCCATTGATTGACATTCCAATGTTGTTTGTTATTTCAGAACCAGGGGAATTCACGTTTGATAGGTCCCACTATGCTGCTGATTTAAAGTCTGGAATGATGGCTGTCACTGTTGTGAGACAACACGGATGTGATGGCACCGTCACAGTGGAGTACTCGACTGTGTAAGTATAGATATATGGTATTTCATGAGAGGAATTGAATATGGCTTTTATCCCTTCATCTTGGAGAAAATATATTCTACGTTGGGGGATTAAAAATATTATTAATTATACTGTTTACCTAATGTGCTCGTGGAGAGAGTATTTACTCAGAGGGATGGGATATGAGTTTATTACACGAGAAAGTATATAATATTTTATCTCAATATATAAATATCTTAACTAACTAAAAATTAAAATAGATAAACGATATATTTATGCAATCTGATCTTAACTGGGAAAATATTTGTAATTGTAAAACATTGGATTCTTAAGATGTTGAACTCGAGAGAATGATCTGTGTTACAAAAAATATGAAAATCAATTCTCCAATGAAACTTTTTGTCATACATCACGCACTTTGAGATATCAAATCATTATAGGTTCAATGTGTCTTTGTGTGCATTCCAGTAGTTCGCACAGCATCGATTTCATAACAATAAGACAACTTTAAATGTGACATTTTGCTAATTCATATCGGTAATTACATTATTTCAATGCCATTTCCTGTGAGCTAATTATACCAAGCAAAAAAACAATAATCAAAGAAATTATTTTTGGTAATATTTCATGGATTGAAATGCAAAGTAAGGTGGCATAAAGAGAAATTAGCAAGGAATAAAGTAAACAGGCATGTAGTCAACACTTTAAATTGTAAACAAATGCAAGAAAATCAAACAAATCAAATTTTAGAGACAAATGAGAGGAATCAGCAAGGAATAAAGTAAATAGGCATGTAGTGGATACTCTAAATTGTATAGAAATGCAAGAAAATCAGACACTTTATTCAAATTTTAGAGAGAAATAGAGTGAAATAAACATGAGCAGACGGACATTTTACTATGTCATACACACCATCTTTCACAATTACAAAATAATTCTGTTTAATCATGTTGCAATGAATTGTAAGATATAGTCTGCCTACCTGTGTAACAAAGGAGGAATTCAAAACCCATAATACAAATGACATATCCCATAATTCATCTGATGTCAAATCATTAAGTGAAAAAGCAGTAAATACAACAATGTGTTCATGTTTCAGAAATGGTGTCATCCTATCAATTATTAGCTCATTGCTTTATAAATGACTTGTCGTTGCCATATTCTCACTTTTTGTAATTAGATTACTTAAATCTTAAAACACAATGAACAAATACAAAATGACTAACAAAATAAAGTGATCACTGAAAGATAATACTATCAAATGCCTGATTAATAAATCACAATAATCAAAAATGGATGGATATTATTATTCCAAATAAGCATTGATTTTATTCAAACCTCAACTACCTTATTAATTTTCAAATGCATACATGTGAAATGGAATTAGGGTAGTAAACAAATCAAAAAGTATATGTATATGTAGCAATGTAAAAATCAGGCATAAATAGGCATTTTAGAGAGGACATTCATATACAGGTAATTATTATGTAAAAGGGCGCAGTCTGAAAGAATACTCAAAGGTATAATCGAGATATAAATTCTATACTTTTAAAGCAAACTCTGGAACACCTCACATCGTTTAATTATTCCCTATAGGTTCTAAATGAGACTGGAACATGCAATTACAAGAGAGAAATATATTCCCATAGGTCTAGCTTTGATTTAACGAGATTCTTGTTTTTGTAAATATTATTTTTACTTATACTAGGCATGCAGATTTTTGCATAATATGTGTTTCAAGGTGAAATAAAGAACAATGATTTATTCAATTTTTGATTATAATTTTAGTAATTTGTAACGCATTTTTCTCATTCATCCATTGCATCATGGGATATATACCTCTTTTGCCCTTTGGTTACTTCAGTTTAGTGAAGTATAAATCTGAGATAATGAATTAATGCCTTAATGGATTTTCAGTGTTAAATGTCGTCTGCTCATGCTTATTCCACTCCATTTCTCTCTAAAATTTGAATAAAGCATTTGATTTTCTCTCATTTTCATACAATTTAGAATGTTAACTACATGCCTGTTTACTTTATTCCTTGCTGATTCCACTCTTTTTTACTCTATTTTGAGTTTAAAAACATGGTCACTGTGACCTTTTTCAAGGCTGGCACGAATGAGTTAATGTTCCTTGCCAGATATCCAATAAACAATAAATGGCTGGTTGTGCCAGGCATTATTATACACTGACGTCCGCAGCTTTTTAATTTCAAAGGGGTTTGGCGTGGCAAAGAATACTTGGAGGCAAATCATATAATATGGTTTATGGCAAATAATGAGATTCAAGCTTCAAAATGACAGAGATTTGTTTCAATCTGTTGAGGCATCCTTGCAATGGCATATTAAATCAGGCATGTCAAGTTATATCAGGCAAGGCATCTATATTGCATCAAATAAATGAAATTACAAAAATCTGTTATAAGATTATGTTCCATTGTGTTCTATTGTCTTATTTTTTTGTTTCAAAATTTACAAAGTGCCTTCTTGAATATGAAATACCAAAAATCTATTCCATCAAGGTGTCACTTAATGCAAAACCATTCATTAAGAGTGGAGTTTGAACAACTCATTGAGCGAGAGTGTCATGACACAAGAGGCTGTTATTACATGTAGGCAAATATCCATAGGCGTGCCATGACGATTCAACAATACACTTAACGTCATTTAAGCAATATATTATATATTTTGCTCAAAATTTATCTTAGAATCCCTTTTGTTTCGTTGGTGGTGTTAAGAATGACATTTCTAGCCAAAGAATTTTAGCCTTGAACTGAATTATTTGATTATGTTTATGGGACGATTTAAACCAGATTCAGCTTAAAGGAAAGCAAAATCAAGTTAGAAAATGAACTAAAATCTCTCATATGGTCAGTACCTACAATCAACCCATTTTCTTTTGGTTTGAATAACAGGTGTCTGAATTTTGGGTATTTCTCTATAATTTGGAGTGTTTATTACAGGCCTGTTTAATGTATTCCTTACTGTTCAATCCATTCCCATCTATGGTCCAAGCGTATTTTAATGCTTTCTATAGTTGCTATAGCAGTGAGGGATGATCTTGGAGGATGATTTATTCCTTCCTCTCATTTTTACTTTAATTTGTATTTTAAAACATAACGGTCATGCTGAGTTTTCCAATGGGTATCGTCATTAAGGCTTTAATTTATAGGGAAAAATCTTGGGAAGGTCACATTGACATATTTTTAGATTTGAAATCTCGTGGCTTGAGGCAATTAAGAACGGAAGGTAACAGTTTGATGGTTACACAGTAATCTGATTTATGTGAATACATTGCAGTAAAATCATAATATTTATAAAGTATTGGAGACAGTCTGGGACTTGTGTAAAAATGGCTGTCTGCTCATTCTAATTTTATGGATACAAGTTCATATAGTAATATAGTTCCATGGTTTTTTTTTTATTTTTTATTTTTATTTTTTAGATATACAGATTATATATTTTGTGATTTTAATTCGTGGATAAAGTTATATATTATATGATTTTTGCTTCGTGATTTTAATCCAATATTCCTGGATACTTTCAGTGACGGCACAGCGCGTGGAGGTCCAGAATTAACAGAGAAGCTTGACTATGCATCAGTACAAGGGGTCCTTACATTTAAGCATGGAGAAACGAGCAAACAAATCCAAATAGATGTAAATAAAGAGGCTAAGGTTAGTACTACCCTCTCCCATTCGCTAGCCACATAGTCCTCTGACTGCTCCACACGATTCTTGGGCGGCTAAGACTTTACATTTCAAATGTACCCTTCTTGATACTTTATATGAGTTTAAATGAGAATTGTAATATTGTTCGCCACTTTTAACAAAACATGCCGTGATTTTCTTAATTAAAGGCTTTAGATCAAAGACATTCCTTTATAGAATTAGACAAATTCTTGCAATTGCTTCATTTTAATTCAAATTAATTATGACAAATAGTTTTTTGTGTATCACGAAATGTGAAAAGTGTTTTTTCCTGCCCTCCAGGATTTAGACAGGCTATATTGAATTAAAATAGAAATCTAGCTTTGAAGAAAGTAGGTAGACACGCAGGCAAGATCCTGGATTGGATAGAAATGTAAGACAATCAAGTGATCACTCAGATTTTAAAATGTAAAATGAAGTGGAAATTAGAGGAATCAGCAAGGAATAAAGTAAACAGGCATGTAGTTAACACTCTAAATTGTATTGAAATGCAAGAAAATCAGACACTTCATTCAAATTTTAGAGAGAAATGAGAGGAATTAGCAAGGAATAAAGTAAACAAGCATATAGTCAACTCTCTAAATTGTATAGAAATGCAAGAAAATCAGACACTTCATTCAAATTTTAGAGAGAAATAGAGTGAAATAAGCATGAGCAGACGGACTTTTCAGCAAAGAAATGTATGTGATTACAGCTCATCCATTATTCTATTTATCATAAATGACATTTATTTTGGTCAAAACTTGAGATAATTTCCACCTTGGAGAAATCTAGTCAACCATAACAGTAAATTGTTGTCAAAAATCGTAGTTAATTTGCACTAATTGTCATTGGCGCCATTTCCGTAACTTTACTGATTGGTCAAAAATTCTACAATACGAGGGTTGATCCAAAAGTTCCGAACCGTTTGCTCTAAAAATCTTAATACTTTATGAAAATTGTTCATATTTGGCCACAACCACCCCATATATAACAGTTTCATTTTGTGTAAAAATAAGCAATACATTTGACCAGCAACATAGGTATCTGGTTACCATAGTAACATGACGACAGGGTCTGTGGAGCAAGAGTACGACATATTGTAGAGGTGGAAAAAAGTTGATTCTAAAAGAGTGTTACAGGGTATCAAATTTCAAATGTGTCAGTTATGCCTGCCTATAAACCAGTTATTTTTTCAATTTGTCCATATTTAATAGTTAGTTCTTGATTTAATTTCGCAAAATGGTCTCTTATCCCCTTATATACACTTAGTATATCTGCTGACCCTTTGATCAAACACATCTTTGAATTCACCATCACCTGTCTCAGAAAGCCACTCAAAAACAGCAAGACAGACTTCATTTAATGTTCAAAAGCATGTCTTGTCTTGTAATTTGTACCTTGGGTAACTATAGAGATAAACATCAGAGGAGGCAGATATAGTGAGAAGGATGCAAGGGTAAGCTAAGGCATGTGCATATTTTCATTGACGTTTGAGTAAGTATTGAGGTATGGAATTGCGCATTGTCGAAATCGAACTCGATTTTATGCTTTAATTTGACTGCTTTTGGCGCAAGGCATTCTTCTGGTCAATGACATCACAGTTGCCAAGTATAGCTTGTATGATATCAGATTACACATATAGCATTGGTCTAATGAAAAAATAATTGATTAATAGGCATGACTAACAAATCTGAAATACATTTGGTACCCTGCATACACCCTTCAAGTGTCAACTTTTTTCCAACTCTTGCTCCACATACCCTGTTGTCATGTTCCTATGGTAACAAGATACCTATGTTACTTGTCAAATTAATTGTTTTTTTTTACATAAAATGGAACTACTATATATGGGGTGGTTGAGGCCAAATATGAACAATATTCATAAAACATTAAGGTTTTTAGAGCAAACGGTTCGGAACTTTTGGATCAACCCTTGTATATATGATTTCCCATACAGTATCGTAAGCCTTCATAAGGACAGGATTTATCTGCCAATTTTCCGTCCTCATAAGACTCATCAATTTATTCTACATTGTGAAGTGATAATGGTAATCAAATTACTGACAGCTGACACCTTAGTTTCACACATGACACTTGCTAAGAGATATATTCATATGTCAACTTCAGAAAACTCGAGCTTTTTTTTGTATTACATGAGATAAATGAATTATAGTTTAAATATCCTCTATTGTCAGGCCTACATCCGATTTCACACTTTTTCTTAAGTATACATGTAAGCAAGCTTCAGAGATTTCTTTTGTCTGGATGCACTTTATATTTTAGCTATACAATTACATTGAAGTCGAGATGAGATCTTATCCGTTTCATTCCAATTCTCTTGAAAACTTCAATGGAGTGTCATTACATTTTTCCCTCTCTATGCATTTAATGTTTTTTATTACATACATTTTTACTTCATTCCTTGTTAGTTCCAGTCTTTCAACCATGTTTTGATATTAAAACATGCCCTTGTGATATTTCCATAGCATGTAAGGCACTGATAAATTGGGAAATTTCATGTGGAAAGTCCATCCAGAAAAAACAAGGCTTTTATCTAAATAATTAAGTTAACCCTGAAGATCCTCCTTGTTCACTTCAAGGGCAGGCCCATAGCCAGGATGTTGAGGGGGGTTCACTTTTTGAAAAATTCCAGGGGGCTTCACTTGTGACAATTTTGGTCAAAAAAAGGCCAAAATCACCTAAAAAGTGCTCAGAATGGTGAAAAACTGCATGATTTTGAAAGATTTTTTTGGCCAGGGGGGGGGGAGCTTCGCAGGAACCCATCGAACCCCCCCCCTGGCTACGGGCCTGAAGGATGTTATGTTCATGATGATCCCACTCAATATTTGAGTCATTATTGTGTGTGAAAATGACCTCCCTTGCAGTATTGAATGTATGTGTAAGTGTATGAACCATAGCCATAACCAGGGGATTTTGGTTCTCTATAAACCATGCAGTTTTTCACCATTTGAGTGACTTTTTTAAGTAGTTTTGGGCCAAAATTGTCTAAATCAACCCAAGTAGATTTTTTTTGAAAACTGCCCTCCCCCTCACCGACAAAAGCTGGCTACGGGACTGGACTTCGAGGAATTTTAAGCCATAGCCTCATCCAAGTATCTTAATGGAGCAAATTATTCCCTATACTATACGAATCAATATAGAAGATAGTTATAACTTTCTGCACAAAAGATAATGTATTGGACAATGTACTGTAATATCCTTGGTATTCTTGAATAAGTAGGAACAGAGGAAATGTGAATTCCAATAGTACATTAGCCATTCTCATCAACAAAGGCGCAGACTACTTGACCATCTTTTAACAAAGGCGCAGACTACTTGACCATCTTTTAACAAAGGCGCAGACTACTTGACCATCTTTTAACAAAGGCGCAGACTACTTGACCATCTTTTAACAAAGGCGCAGACTACTTGACCATCTTTTAACAAAGGCGCAGACTACTTGACCATCTTTTAACAAAGGCGCAGACTACTTGACCATCTTTTAACAAAGGCGCAGACTACTTGACCATCTTTTAACAAAGGCGCAGACTACTTGACCATCTTTTAACAAAGGCGCAGACTACTTGACCATCTTTTAACAAAGGCGCAGACTACTTGACCATCTTTTAACAAAGGCGCAGACTACTTGACCATCTTTTAACTATTCAACCCAGAGAGATGAAATTTATAAATTCTCATCAACAAAGGCGCAGACTACTTGACCATCTTTAACACTATTCAACCCAGAGAGATGAAATTTATAAATTCTCATCAACAAAGGCGCAGACTACTTGACCATCTTTAACACTATTCAACCCAGAGAGATGAAATTTATAAATTCTCATCAACAAAGGCGCAGACTACTTGACCATCTTTTAACAAAGGCGCAGACTACTTGACCATCTTTTAACTATTCAACCCAGAGAGATGAAATTTATAAATTCTCATCAACAAAGGCGCAGACTACTTGACCATCTTTTAACTATTCAACCCAGAGAGATGAAATTTATAAATTCTCATTAACAAAGGCGCAGACTACTTGACCATCTTTTAACTATTCAACCCAGAGAGATGAAATTTATAAATTCTCATCAACAAAGGCGCAGACTACTTGACCATCTTTTAACTATTCAACCCAGAGAGATGAAATTTATAAATTCTCATCAACAAAGGCGCAGACTACTTGACCATCTTTTAACTATTCAACCCAGAGAGATGAAATTTATAAATTCTCATCAACAAAGGCGCAGACTACTTGACCATCTTTTAACTATTCAACCCAGAGAGATGAAATTTATAAATTCTCATCAACAAAGGCGCAGACTACTTGACCATCTTTTAACTATTCAACCCAGAGAGATGAAATTTATAAATTCTCATCAACAAAGGCGCAGACTACTTGACCATCTTTAAACTATTCAACCCAGAGAGATGAAATTTATAAATTCTCATCAACAAAGGCGCAGACTACTTGACCATCTTTTAACTATTCAACCCAGAGAGATAAAATTTATAAATTCTCATCAACAAAGGCACAGACTACTTGACCATCTTTTAGCTATTCAACCCAGAGAGATGAAATTTATAAATTCTCATCAACAAAGGCGCAGACTACTTGACCATCTTTTAACTATTCAACCCAGAGAGATGAAATAGTTAGTTGCAGAACCCGATGTTGTACTGTACATGTAAATTGAGTTGCCCTTTATATCTTCTGCCAATTTGAAATATAAAAACGAGTACCTACTCTCTGCTCTCTTCTGGGATGAAGATCCTTATTGGACCCCCTGTAGGGTTCCAAATTATGTATATAAATTAGAGAGTCCTTACAGGGTTAGAATATTAAATTTTTTTGTTGTCTCCTTGCAGAGTTCAAAAAACTTCATAGTGACCCTGAGGAATCCCAGTCTAGGGGCCAAGATAGGAGAACACAGTGCTGCAGTTGCTAACATATCTACAGGTGAGATATTCCCCATATCCAATATAATAAGAAAGGGGATATTTCTCATATCCTTTGGATATTCCCCATATCCAATGAATTAATGAAGGGGTCTTCTCCATAACGATAAATTATTTATTAGATATTCTATATGTTATCATCCAGTGGATATTCCTCATATCCAATTTAGTAATATAAAGGGGACTTACCCCATATGAAATATATTAACATGCAGTTGGGTTTTACCTTTATTCAATATGTCAACACGCCGGGGGACATTCCCCATATCCAATATATTCACTTGCTGGTGAATATTTCTCATATTCAGTATATCAGCCATACAAAGAGCCATTGGCTAATTTCATAGGGTAATTGTTTGACTTGAAAGAATACAAATATATTTTTTAATTTACATCTAAAGCATTTATTAATTAGTGGAAAATTGTATTGTAAACGAAGTTTAAAATTAGGTTTTAAAAAAGTGAACAAATGCAAAAAATAAAGAAAGTTTTATTTTATTTTTTGCTTCTTTGATTTTAACAGATTTTCACGCTGGCTTGGGTAAATGTAAATCATTGAAATGTTGAAAAATTAGAGAGAAATTGAATGGAATAAGCATGAGTAGATGGACATCTTCATCATTCCATTTCAAATTGTAGAAATTAACCTCTTGAATCCCAGGTTCTAAGATAGGTTGAAACCAGATAATTTTTCTTTTTTGACAGCTTTTGACATTTTACTACATACATACACAACAGATGATGTTCAATTTAGTAAAATTAGACGGAGGAGATCATTTCTAGACATTTTGAAACAATTTTTGTGTAAATTGGATAAAAATTGTTCAAATAAGAGCAATTTTAGTGAACAATTTTGTGACGGATTATCTCGTCACTCTGGGTTTTAAGGTCATTTCTGAGGTGACGAGAAATCTCGTCACTCTGGGTAGTCAAGAGGTTAAAGGCCATCCATTCTGACACACACATGATCTAATATTTGAAAAATGTTACCTTGTGAATCATATGAAGCATGGCTGAGTGTAACTGTGTTTAAGAATGGTCCACTTCATCTATCCCTTATTCTTTCACTGCTTATGGTAGAGCTCACTATAATCAGGAACATAGATATGCTATATAAACATAAAACACTGCTTTACGAACACAATAGAATATTTGTATATGACTTCCATGAATCCGCTCCCCTTTAGTAAAATAGATGAGTTTAATGATAAAATACATACATGTACATAGCAGAGGAAAAGTCATTTTTAATTTAATTTTTTAATTTTAGCTTGTACAATAATTTTCAGACACTGAGCATTTAAGATTTCGTTTTTTTTAAAAACATCCTTTAGATTTATCGCGATGCACTGCTTATCTGAAATCAATAGCCATATGAGTAGGAGCTAAATTTTGTCTTGTGGCAAATTTAAGCACGCTGTGTTTGTGATCATAAGGGCTTTGTTTCCTTGGAATCTGATGAGTCTATGATTAAAATATAATCATTTTACAATCAAGTATTTTTATATTGTTTTTCTCTTTAAGTACCCTACCTCAGCTATATGCTTTTAAATACATGTATATTTATATTATTTCCAAAATATAATTTAGAGATTGTTTTGTATTATAGATGTCATCGCAGACAGGATAGCAGACATCTTGGATGATGAGGAAGAAGAAGTCACATGGGGTGGTCAATTTAGAAAGTAAGTTTGGGCTTGTCATGAAAATCTTCATTTTTTACAAGTTTATCCTGAAAATTGATGTAGCTTTGCCGAGAGCCACAATATGGCCATTTACATGATATGAAAATGATAAGTCGGCATGTTATACGTAAAATATTTACATAAGTGAATGATATGATACTAACATAATATATATTGTAATGTAATGCAATATGACACGATAAATGTATATCCTATCTGAAATTGTAAAATAATACCAATTATATTGACAATATATGTATAACATATTATGTAATGTATACGACACATTTCTCTATTGTAGTGCTATGAGTGTGGAATGTGACAAGGATGATGATGGCGTTGACATTCCCCTCAAGTGGTACGACTACACACTCCACTTCCTAACATTTTTCTGGAAGGTTATTTTTGCCTTCATACCCCCAAAGTAAGTGATAGCTTTTGTACCTTTATTCTAAACTTCCTATTTTTATGTCACTTAATATTAAGGTCTCCATTTTTTGTGACAATGGTTGGTGTCTGCTGTCTGGCATTCGGCGCTTGACATCTGTAACAATTGAATTGTAGGTGGTGACATTTTGCCTGTTAATATCTTTTTAAATCTCAATACATCAATAGCTAAAGATCATCCAGTGAAAACATCATTGAAAAAATCTACAGGCCTTAAAATCCACATTAGAAATAAATTGATAACTTGAAAAAGATCCACCTTACAGATTCTATGTACTGTACATCACTTAACGTTTTATAAAATCAATTCTAATATGATACGTTACGTCACAATAGCTAGAACAATGGATTTTCTGGTCTATATTGGAGTATGTATGACCGCTAAAATTCATAAATGTGAATAGTTGTGTTACTTGTCTGTTTCTCATATTACAATCATAACAAAGACCTCGATTTTATGACTTATGTCAAATATATGACCTCAAAATTATTCTGGCCATTGTCAAAGGCCTCAATCGCGTAGCGGCGATTTCGGTCTTTTAACAATGAACAGAATAAATGTTTTGGTCATATAGTACGCCATAAATCATAAAATCTTGGTCTTTATTCCTTAAATATATTATGTAAAAATAGAAATATGCTATGTCAAAGCATAACTATATTTCAGATATCAATCAGTATTTTGAAAATTACATTGGTCCTACATGTATAACAATTTTTTTTTGAAATATTTCATTCAAATTCTGGATTGATATGTTTGTATATTTAAATTTTTCAGGCAATATCTCGGGGCTTGGCCAACATTTATTTCCTCACTCGTATTTACTGGTGTGCTGACTTTACTAGTTGAACAGGTACGAAATTTCATATAAATCTGCACCCTTTATGTGATATGCTCACATCATTCATTTCTCACTAAAATTTGAATAAAGTATATCACTTCTTTACATTTCTATACAATTTGGGGTATTAATTACATGTCTATTTACTTTATTCCTTGCTAATTCCTCTCATTTTTCTCTAAAATTTGAATAAAGTTTATCACTTCTTTACATTTCTATACAATTTGGAGTATTAATTACATGTCTATTTTCTTTTTTCCTTGCTAATTCCTCTCATTTCTCTCTAAAATTTGAATAAAGTATATCACTTCTTTACATTTCTATACAATTTGGGGTATTAATTACATGTCTATTTACTTTATTCCTTGCTAATTCCTCTCATTTCTCACTAAAATTTGAATAAAGTATATCACTTCTTTACATTTCTATACAATTTGGGGTATTAATTACATGTCTATTTACTTTATTCCTTGCTAACTCCTCTCATTTCTCTCTAAAATTTGAATAAAGTATATCACTTCTTTACATTTCTATACAATTTGGGGTATTAATTACATGTCTTTTTACTTTATTCCTTGCTAATTCCTCTCATTTCTCTCTAAAATTTGAATAAAGTATATCACTTCTTTACATTTCTATACAATTTGGAGTATTAATTACATGTCTATTTTCTTTATTCCTTGCTAATTCCTCTCATTTCTCTCGAAAATTTGAATAAAGTATATCACTTCTTTATATTTCTATACAATTTGGAGTATTAATTACATGTCTTTTTACTTTATTCCTTGCTTTCTCCTCTCTTTTGCACTCTATTTTACATTTTAAAACTTGACCATAATTGTGTGTTATCCCTTTTTTTACAGCTTGGTCATCTACTTGGCTGTACTATAGGCATTAAGACAGCTGTTACTGGTATCACTATAGTTGCATTAGGAACAAGTCTCCCTGATACCTTCGCCAGCAGAACTGCAGCTCTTCATGATCAATACGCAGACGCTGCCATAGGAAACATTACAGGTTAAAAGCGAAAGCACACATGTTGATAACCTCTATGTAGATTTTACCTCCTCGTTGGCTATCGGCATTTAACTTTGATTATCGCAGATTGTTTATTAGAAATATCAAATAGTGGTATTTGCATGATATGACTCTTTAATGTATATTGGTAGATTCAAACATTATTTTTTCGTAAAATTACATTTGGAATGTTTTCAGGTTCAAATAGTGTCAATGTATTCTTGGGACTTGGTCTTCCATGGGTAATAAGCGTAATCTACGGAATGGCGACGAACAAAACATTTTATGTGCCAACTGCAAACCTGTTCCAGTCAGTTTTAGTGTTCGCTGTATGCGGCGTATCCTGTATAATTATGTTATTTATAAGGCGGAAGGTATGTCAAAATCTATAGTTATGTCTCCAAGCAGAGATAAATTGTTAAAGCCACCATTTATTATCACACTTTTTGTATTACATGCAGGCCCATAGCCAGGATTTGCCAAGGGGGTTCACTTTTTGAAAAATTCCAGGGTGGTTGACATGTGACACTTGGTTCAAAAATAGCCAAAATCACTTAAAAAGTGCTCAGAATGGTGAAAAACTGCTTGGTTTTGAAAGATTTTTTGGCCAGGGGGGGGGGTTTGCTCGAACCTCGAACCCATCGAACTATGGGCCTGACATGTATTTTTACCAGTTGTCAGAATATCAATTAATGTGTACATCTCGGTGGTGATATTTAATCATGCTAATAGGATAGTTGATGTTTAAGATTATATAATTTTGATTTAATAAAGCATAAATTGAGATAACTTAATTTCACTCCATCAGATTTTCTTCTAATCGTTCCTCTGAATGTTGTATTTTCAGTTTATTGGAGGAGAACTAGGTGGCGCTAATAAATTGATAAAATGGGGCTGCTGTCTTTTCCTGTTTCTATTGTGGTTCATCTACATTCTCATATCGTCTTTGAACGCTTATGGATTAATTGAATTTAACCTATAGAGTCAAAAATGGAGATCATTATTCTCCATATAAAAGTGTGATTACTCGAGCTTTAAAAGTTGGGTTAGTTCTTGATCTGAGGTCAAGGTCAATTATCTTGATCCCATAATGCAGTGAATATTTACTACATGTAGTCATGGTGATGCACAAATCAAAAATGCCAAATCAAAAATGAGGAACAGTGAAGTGTTTACTGTTATTGCCAAATACATTAACCAGCAGAGGCCCATAGGTAAATAGTAATCAGATGAAACTCTTAAAGATGTCATCTAAAGTCTACAAAGGGTTGGCAGCAAATGATAGAGACATAATTTTATATATTGGCAGTGTTCCAAATTCCTCATTTTAGGTTCCCTTCCAGAGGGAAGGGAATGACAAATGTCAAAACATTGAGTGACAAATGTCAACCATTGAATGACAAATGTCAACCATTGAATATCAACCATTGAATGACAAATGTCAATCTTGGAATTGATATGCAACAGAGTTGCAAATGTCATGTATGGAAAGTGCCAATCGTTGACTTCATAAGTACGAGTCAAGGTGGAAATGGTCAATTGTTGACAATGAATGCAACAACAAGGATATAATTTATAAATGATAATTGTTAGACAGGGTGTCCAACTGATTCTTGTAATAAATGATGTTCCACTTTCTTCTGCCCACACTATACATTAGAAATTTTGGAGGAAAATGAATCTTAAGAAACAATGTGCCAAGATATTTATGTCATTACTTCCATTAATGTGACAATCGTATATCTTAAAATTAGCAGTATGTAAAACAGTCTGATCTATTCCTGTAATATGGGGACATATTCCACTTAAGATGACAAATGCCCTATTATGTTAGAAATATGACATTATTTGTGATATGGTGACATTCCATGCATGGTGCATTTATGTTGTCATATTTCAGAAAGGTGACGCTGTTAGAACCTGAAATTATTTGTGATATGGACACATTCTATGTTATGGTAACTAACTTATTTTGTACAAAAACATGACAAGGGTTATTAGAATATAGTAACCATAACAATGTTTCAAGTGGAGGTGTGATTCTCATGAATTCAGAAGAAAGAAGATCAGTTTCAGTAGAAAAACGGTTCAAATAAAAAATGCATTTTTGCCAAAAAAATAACTTCAAACTTAAATATATATGTGTATATGTGTACAAGTAGATTGATTGAATTTTCTTTCCATAAAAATAAAACATATTTCTCAGTTACTTATTTTAACAGTACCTGGTTTTCAATTAGTTAAAATCCCTTAGAACTTATTTAAGAGCACAGAGTGTTCAATAAGTCTCACATATTTTAGGGTCAGTTTACAGCTGGCCTGGAAAAAACTGAACTGAAAGAATTAAGTAAAAATGAAAAAATGCTTTTTGAAGTGTCTCTTTGTGGATTTCTTATTGATAGTATAGTTTTGTTTGGAACTTATTTGACACATATTGAAAAATATCATATATAAATTTGAATTATATTTTTTCAATTTAAATGTTGTTATTTCTGTGATGATATATCATTGTTAGAATCTAGTGTAGGGACTCAACTTTTCACTTCCATAAAATTTTATTGAAATATTTAATAAATATGATATCATTAATTATAAACTGTATATACACATCCAAATCCTGTCATAATTTCCTTTAAAATCAATCACTTACAGAAACTACCATTATATGTTGAGCAGTATATATGAACATTGGGTATTTGAAACAACAATTGAGATAAAGAAGACACTTGATGTGAATTGTTAGGATAACTTTCCAAACAAATTTTTAGATTCTATCTATATATTTTCAAGGCTATTGGCTGTGATATGTGTATTCTTAAAAATGTTCATCCATGATTTAAATTAAATTTCTTAAACAGAGTGACAAATAGTGAATGTAACAAAGAATAAAGTAAACAGGCATGTAGTTACCATTCTAAATTGTATAGAAATGCCAAAAAATCAGACACTTCATTCAAAATTTGGAGAGAAATTGAATGAAATAAAAAGCATGAGCAGACGTACATTTTTAATTATGGATTTAATACATGATATCAGTGTCCTCATGCATGACTGTAAAACATGTTTGAATGAAAAGAGCAGTTTTCACAATCTTAACTATCCCCAAACGGGAAATGTATGTGGTTAAAGCAAAATTAACATATGCTACAGTAAATTGTTAAATATGGTGTTAGTGCGCATCAAATTATGAAATATACATAAGGATATATCAAATTTTTGCAGTAAATCATTACAATGATCATTCCAGTGGGAAATCTTTCAGATCTTGTTATCCAGCATCTGCAAAATAGGGAAGGCAGATTGAAATAGCCACATGTGGGTAATACTTTTGTGGTACATAATGTAATCACAATTTTCAATATCATTATCAGGCTACATGATACATATATTTACTGATTACTACATCACTGGTTTATACTTCAGCGTTACATAATATATCCACCATTTTAGTGAGAAAGATTCAAAGACATCAAAGCCTATTTAGAATGGTGTGTTATATAATTTCAGGAAATAGATTATTTAACATTAAATGAAGTGGTCATATTTCAAATTGTTAATTACAGAAAAATAATCTTTGGGAAGTATTCAATCTCAATGAGGGTATGTTTCTAGTGAACATATGTGGTTCTGTTTATTTATACAAATTAAAGAAATTGTGTTCCTGATTTTGTTTAAACTGTATGACAATATGATCTCTTCTCTGTTTCACTTATTTAGTAATAATGTAATAGCATATATGTTATGTATGCGTAATCATGATATTACATGTTATGATGTTGCATATGTTTACTCATGATATTACATATATGTTATATTGTATATGTTTACTCATGATCTTGCATATGTGCAATCATGATATTAATTACATGTTGAATCAAGACATTTTGTTTGTAATCATGATCTTGCATATGTGCTATCATGATATTAATGACATATGTTTATTCTAGACATTTTGTTTGTAATCATGATCTTGCATACATGTAATTATGTTATTTGTGCAACATGTGATAACTAAAGTGTAATTATTTAAAATAGTATTTGGTTACATTCCATCAAGACATACCTCAAATCATAAAAATTATGCCAAGTAAATGAGGTGACATTCCCACAATGCATTCCTAGGTCATGTGACATTTGTTGCATTGTGGGATTATTCACACTACACAGTGTACTGCCAAATAAGGATAAACTGCCCATATCAAACAAAGCTGTTCTCACTGCTGGCTGTGCTCGGTTTCCATAGCAATGCTGCACACCACTGTTGTCATAACAGCAATTTGCTTGATTAGTACTGTTTAAGTATGCACTAAACAGCTGTTTGATGCAGATGGAGTCAAACTGCAATGTCAAATAAAAAGTTTAATGTTACAACATTTAATGTACATCATATATGTATGCTTAAAATGTGCATTATTTAATGTAAATTTATAAAGTTGATTAATTATTTCTATTTTGCTGTCAAACATTCTTCTAAATTCAAACTTATTTCTAAATTCGCAATTATTTGTGTGAAATTAAAACTCAAATTATGCATTCACATGACAACAAGAAATGCCAAAAACATGATTTTAATAAATACTATTCACTCAAGATAATATTATAGTATTATTTACTTACCAAATGTGTCATTTTGCTAGTCAAAATGTATTGTCATTTTACATATTTTGTAGATCAAAATTTATGTGTAAATTATGGCATAAATTAGGGAATTTTATTGATTGTATATGGGCCTTGTATGAAATATCGATATTGCCGCTTTCCCTTACATAAATAAAGTAAATTGAATTAAATCAGTGAGAAATGAAGGAATTTAAAAAAAGTGTGACATTTAAACCTAAAATAGTGAAAGGGCAACATTTGGAACCTAAGATAGAATTATGTGATCTTATGGTAGGAAAAAGTGTCACATTTTAAACCTAATATAATGAAAATGTGGCATTTTAAATTCATAAGGTGTGGTATATCAAATCTAAGGAAAAAAAGCTGAGCATTATTGATATTTTATAATCAAGGAAACCTAATGTAATATAGAAAATAAAAATATTATTGTAAATACTTGGCGGATTGAAACTAAATAAAAACGATTTTTATGATAATTATTACTAGTTTTTGTTATTATGTCACCAGCAAAAAGTGGTGACATATTGTTATGGTCTCCATTTTTTTGACGGCGGTCGGCGGTTTGTGTTAGGCAGTTGGCGATCGGCGTCTGTAACAAATTCTTACAACTTCCAATAACTTAACGACTGATTTCAATTTTTTTCAAAATCATCTACATTTTCTGAAGAGCTCAACTCATTCTAAATAATTTGGGTAAGTATGTGCAGCACGGGCAATTTTGGCTTTGGGTATATACAACCTGACCAGTCTGAGAGGAAAAAAATCTAGTTGAAAGCCCATGGTCGAAGAGAGAGCCTTTTTAAGTCAATTGGCGAGGTCTGGGACAAATCACCTAATAAGTGGATTTTGTAGTTAATATACCAATACTTAAGGAAATTTACTCCCCTTTTATAAGTCTGAGAGAAAGTGTAGGCTACAATGGAAACTTTCAATCTCGAGATGGAAAAAATACTCAAAAAGGGGGTCGGCGCGGCACATATACAGTAAAATTTTAAATGTTTAGAACTACTTTGAATCTAAAAAATAAGCAATCAAAGAACCATATTGAAACAGATTATGTAAAAATGGAAACATTTATACATGTCTTAACTTTTGTATATTTTTGTTTGTTTTGTAGTTTAGCTATCATATCTGTGGCCTCTTATATTTTGATGCTTCTCTGCCATGTTATTTTCGAAAAAATTAACATGCCTGAAACTCACTAAATTACAAAAGGCCACAGCTTTGCTGCACATTATGCATAACTATCTGAAATATACAAAAGTTAAGAATTGTACATGTTTCCATTTTTTCATATACTGTTGCAATATAGTCATTTGATTGCTTATTTTTTAAATTCAAAGTAGTTCCAAACATTAAAATTTTTACTGTAGGTACATGTAGGTATTAAGAGGTATGTGATCCATACTACATCACCTGTCGGGTGTAAGTAGAGCGAGCGCTACACCCATGTGAAACGAACTAATCAAGTCTTGTCTGGAAAAATTGTCTGGCTGTATTGTCAAAGAAACTCTTCTGCCAGATCGGGCCACAGGTTTGGCTGAATAAATACGTTTTTCTCTGACTGAATAGAAGAACGTGCTTAAGAAATGTTTATGATAAGTGTTTGATGGAGAATGTGAAGAAAATTAGCGTCGTGTATGTATATGAAAAAGAGTTTCCATAATAGTATAATTTCCATATAGCTTTTGAAATCTCGCTAAATCTCGTTTTTCGTGAGATGTTAAGATATTTGTATATTAGACCTTTAATGACTTACATTACCTTCTTTTAAATGGTGTATTTGAATTCAGTGAAATGTTTTCTCCTATAATAGCTTTGATTTACACAGTTATGTAATTTGAATAATTTTCTATGATAATTTAAAAAAACTTGGACCAAATGTCCATAGATGCAATGCTAAAATTCTTTAAAACCTTGGATTATTTGTATGTCAACCAACATTTGCATGTTTAATCACAACATGTACATAAACATGGTCATCATGTGGTATATCATTCAAGTTTTATACAGATTCAACAAACACTCTTTGATAAATCATGAAATTAAGCAACTTTTCCAAGATTTGAGCATGTAGTGAATGAAACTCTAGCCCAAATTAAAGCTGAATAAAAGATGGCAGCACTAGATTTCATTGCTTTTTCTTCTACTTAGAAACTATCCTATTTGGGATTGTGTGCGAAAGACTGATGATCGCGTTTATTGCAAACGAAGTGGGCCATTCTTGTTAAGATTTATCTACTGGAGAAAATTTACTCTTAAGGAGACTCAGAAGCGGACATGAGAAGATTTTAGAGTCAACATTCAACAAGTATCAAAGTACGGCCCGTTTTTAATGCCCACTTGGTATAGCACAAACGCACTTCACGCCAGTAATATTTCCAAAGAAGTTAGTAGTAATCCACTTCTGTTGTATTGAGATCAAGTTGTCACTTTCCAAAGCTCTACATCACTCTTCATAGTGTCACTTTCGAAAGTATTAGTTACACCAGGTCACGCATTCAATTCAATACTAGGCCTATTGTTGATGGCGTCTTCAAACTCAAAGCCTACATCCGGCACCTACTTTTAAATCGAGGAACTACTAAACTTAAGACCACAGCCGTGTATGTAAAACGGTTTTCAAAGTCTATAGCTGCTGTTAGTTTAGTATTTTTTACCAATAACAAAAATGTGTTTCAGCGATTCAAGCGTATGCGCATTATTAAATGAAACATCCTTACAAGTAAATAATAATTAATAGCTGCCAAAGTAGTGTTTTAGCAAGACTGTTTAACTTTATACAGAATTGCTATCTAAGAAACAAATGAACCCAATATTAAAGCCAATTTAAAATATTTTGGTGGGCAAAAGTCAACAAGAGATATTATTTAAAAAATATGTTAAACTCCTTTGTGAGGCTTCGTAATCGTTTAAGTCAACGATCAAAATGTTCAAACTGAGCCTTTTGACGTTTGTCGTGCAGTTGTGTTTCTATCAATAATGGCAGACTCTGTATCTGATTTAATAACTTTAAAAATCTAGACTACTTTTGATGATGAGAAATTTATATTCAAATTGCACGTATATGCATCTGGTGGAAAGGCCTTTCCAATGAGTCCTGGCTTCTTTTTGGTTAACGACAAAACGTTGGTATACTGGCTAGATTTATGATGATATATACTTTGTAGGCTGCAATGAAACTGTAAGAATGACATCATGAACAACTGGTGACATAATTTACTTGATTGATCAAGTGTAGACATTGTGATGTTATTATTTATAAAAAAAATATTGAGTTGTTTTCCATTACTAACTATGGGTTACTAACTTTTTAGTACTTCACGACAGTTGGGATCGTGCAGCTAGGACTTTGTAACGGTCGTTACCCACGAAGAATGGGGGTGGGAAGGGTGGGGCTACTCAGAGGCTACTGCAATGGAGCGTAAGTCGCCCGTGCCCTGGGAGAAGAAGACATCGTTGAATGCTGTTCTAATGCTATAAATGGCGAATATTTACCACGGTAAATACACAACACAATTTTAAACACAATATAGAATTTGTATCTAGAAAGGCATTTGCCTTTTTGCCTTTTTTGGTTTTTTAGCCAAGTGAAGGTAAATTTACTTTGTTTCGTGTCATCATATTTCATCATAGATCGCGTGCCTTTTCATATTTGATTTGGGTTTTTAATGGCCCGGATCAATAAATTTCGCTAAATAGTATTTGTCATACTTCTTCAAAGCCATGATGATGATCTCGCTTAATGGACGAACTCTGTCATGTATTTAGCAGACTGTCAAATTACACGTTTTAGAGATCATTATTGACCCATTATAACCAATGTTTGTACTTTATGTATACATCCATGTATTTCCCCATGCAAGTAACACATTGATTCTGCAATAAACTAAAGTGGCAAAGCTCACTTCCATTTATTTTGTAATTCGTATATTCTGTTCCATCGAGCAAAATAAAGAAATGGATATTAGAGAGCTTACGATATAAGTTTGTATATAGGAAGATGATTCTAAAGTTTTTTAATTGTTAAAGTAACTGCAAGCCGTTGAAAATAACTCAAAGACATTTTAAAGAAGATTGGTGATAGTCATTTAGGTGATTAATCGTCATTATGAAAATATTTGTTCAAATATCATCTTGTTTATCAGTAATAATGCGAAAGAATTGAGTATCTAGGAAATAAAACTGGATATTGTCTACCCAAACCTTACGTTGTTATTAAAAGGGTAACACACGCCACATCAATTTCGAAATAAGACATCTTAAATTCTTTCAAAATGTCTATAGTACTTGTACCGTCCACAACAGCAATAGTGAGTACATGCAACAACTCAGCGAAAATGACAACACTACGAGATGACGGACCCATTTCTCTACCTGTGTTAGGACAGCCGGGAGTTTGGTTTTGGATATTACAGTTTGGAGGAGTTTCCAGTCTCTTTATTAGCATTTGCTTCAGTTTTGGTCTGATTGTTTATCTTATTGTAATGGGGAAACGTCAGAATCGGCCATTTTGGACATGGAAGTTACCCGAACGCTTGGTTATCTACCTCGCTCTGTGCGATCTTTTTTTGAGCATTGCCCATATTACTGACCACTGCATAATGATTGCTCTATACGACCATGTTCCTGACCTACCATGCATCATCTTAGGTTTCCTCCTAAATGAGTTCATATTCATGCAGGCCATCATCGTGATTTTCACCGCCATAGGCGCATTTGTATTAGTCGTGAAGAATAAGAGAATACCACTGGGGAGGTATGATTGGAGATTGTTGGTCGTGTCCATTGGACTGCCAACTTTGACTGGATTAGTAATGGTATATTTTGACTTGTTTGGTCCAAGTGGAGCATGGTGAGTTATCCCTTAAATTATTTGCAACAACAAATCAATTTCAATAAATATGAAGTTTTCTTGATAAACATCTAATGACAAATATGGGAGTGGTCATTTATGTTAATGGCAGGGGTCATGTATGTAACTTGTAGGGGTCATTTCCATTAAAGGGAGGGGCGATTTATGTTAATAGGAGGGGTCCACATCCATCCCTAAAGCCAACGCTATAGTCCATAAAACACAATAATTCTCAGTTTTTTTTTCTTTTCTTTTAGGTGTTTCTTAGATGGACGAAATCCTTTATATGGACTCGTGATGTCAGTTATCTCCATTGCCATGATCTTTACGACCCTTTTCAATCTCGCATGTTACGCATCGGTTGTTTTTACCGTGTGGAGGATCACAAGAAGGATGGCCGACTTCAATGATGACGAAGCTGCAAAGAAAAACCAGTGCATCAAAACCGCCAAAACGTTGGTGATATTCGTTATTGCCTACTTTGGCCAGTGGTGGGCGTATGTGTTTTACTCGTTCTGGGCGTTTAAAGAACTTCCACCTCTATGGCTGACATTATTAACAGCTACGTTTTCAAATATGGGAGGTGTGTTTAATTTCTTCGCCTATAGCAGTTTCCGAAAGTCTCTTGTGAGCAGTGGAACAAACAGCTCCGAGACGAATTCAGCGCCAGGATGTACATCGCTTGCATCAATAAATGCGAGCATGGCAGAGAGTAACACAGCGATTGTTAGTACAAATTTACAAGTGGTCGATTGACCAGTTATAGAATAATGATTACTGGTTGCTGTTTCGTTGCAGCAAATTTACTTAACTCGTACCCAATGAAGATAAATATGGATATGTAAACCGGCTATTAGTATAAATCAGTACTATTTTGATTTACCAATTTGTGTCTAGAAAGACTTTTGATCATTACACATGTTCATTAATTCCATTTCTTCCTTACGTTGAAAATTAATTATATTCTATTGTTCATAACAAACAATTATCCAAACTGTCAACTTTTTTTTGTTTCGTAGATTTTTCTAAAGCCTTTGATAATATTAATAGACAATGTCTGTTTGTAAAATTGAATAGAATGGGCATTAAAGGTCGTATATATCATGCCATAGTCTCACTTTATGAAAATGTGCAATGTGCCGTCGAACGTGAAACCACAAGCCAAGCACACCCTGAATCAATGTGTATGTGAATACTGTGCTAACGTTGAACTAAAAATCAAAGCCATACAGTCATTCGTCCGCAATCATTCTATTAAGGATGAACACCTTGGTAAAGTAATACAAAATAAATATAAGCTAAGCAAAGCAACAGTTTGTTCAGCAGAAAGCTTAACATGTGTTCACCGCTCCTGTGAAGAATGTGGGGTCAAAACTATGATGACCAGTCAACTGAAGCCAATTGAGCCATACCTCAATGAATCTATAAATTATAACGTCTGGCAAAACTGTTTATCCAAGAACAAAAAAGGCGAAAATGTAACAAAGAAAGGACTTGTAAAGAAGACTGTAAAAATGAGTGAGTTGTTGAAGGACCTTGAATCCGACTTGATGCCATATTCAGAACATCTCTATGCGGCAAAATGGCAAAGTACACAATTTTCGAAGCTTATTGAGGAGCTGCCACCTCTTTGGTTTGTAATGTGCATGGACTTTGCTCAAAATTATCTTTGCGTGTTTCAGGACGAGGTCCAGGCTGCTCACTGGCAGCATGAGCAAGCCACCATTCACCCTATTGTCACATACTATAATTGTCCCCAATGTAAAAATCACATTACGACGGAGACCTTGATATTCATCACTAACGATCTTAAGCACGATTCTCACGCTGTTAGAGTTTTTGTTGAGAAGGCAATTGACCATCTCAAGAAAAACAGAGATGTTGAAGTCAAACGAATGATACACTTCACCGATGGTTGCAGTTCACAGTACAAATGCAAGACATCCTTTGCCGATGCAAGCTATAGCCTTGAAGATTATGGTATTATCACAGAAAAACACTATTTTGGCTCCAGACACGGCAAGAGTCCGAACGATGGCGAAAGTGCAGTATGCAAAAGTGCTGCATCGAGGGCAATGAAAGCAAGAGAAGTAGTCATTCGAAATGCTCATGAACTCTGTAACTTTCTCGAAAAAACAAAAACGAAGCCAGAAAAAGAAAACAAAGAAAGCTGTGAAAAATACAGGAGAACCTTCTTCTATGTTCCTTCAGAGGAAACTGTTAGAAACAGGATTCCATCAAACAGAACAAATGTAAAAACTTTAAAGGGAACAAGAAAGCTCCACGCTGTCAGAGGTATAATGCCACAGGTGGTCCAAACGAGAGAGTACCCCTGCTTCTGCAAGGTTTGTACCACAGGCGAAACAACAGCGGAATGCGCGGTGAATGGTTGGTCAGGTGATATAAGCCTAAAGTTGACAAATCAGGAGAATACAAGACCAGTGATCGAAATGCGAGAACCCAGTCTAGAGAGCCTAGAGACGATGCACAGCAAGGTGTGAAGGAAAAGCCGAGATCCGTGTTGAGAGAGAACGATGAAATCAAGTGCGTGAAATGTGATTTTGAATACAATGATTTGAGGGACCCAAAGAAACGAGAACAATGGGTATGTAAAGTAATTGTTACATTCTCAATATTGATAATCCTTTAATTTTTATTTCCAAGCAACAGTTCCAACGTGAAAAGTCCATTATATGATATAAATAACACAGGGAATTTTACTGCATTGGTTACTTTGACACATAAATTAAAATTCTGATATTTCCTAATTGTTCCGTACATTACTTATAGATTATGTGTACCAGCTGCAAGAGATGGGCCCACGAGTCATGTGCGAGATACGGAAACATCGACCAAATGCACTTTACGTGCCACAAATGTGTAAATAAGGAGAAGTGAATTTTGGAACCAGGTTTGTACACAGTGATTTGAATAATTGGATAACAATTACTCCTGATCCGTACAATGCCTTATATTTCTCCTGTTATGAAATAGCTATAAAACATAAATGAAAATGAAGTCAATATTTTATGACATTACTTTCCAGGCCAAGGAAGCTGGGCAGAGATGGGTTCTGACTTACTGAGAAAATGTGGAACCATGGCACCGACAAATGAACATTTATGATGAACATTATTGAACCTTTATGACTTTCATAGTCTGATTTTAGCATTCAAGTGTACAAACGTTGTCACATTTCACTGTTCTTGTTATCAGTTACACGCTCCTTATTTAAGTTTGGAAGGCTTTTTTCCAATTTGTCAGAATTTGATAAACTTTTGTGAGGGAAGAAAAATCAAAACCTGAGGAGCCTGAATTAAAATCCCGATCATCATGATGATCAAATGTCAATAGTAACTTAAATTTCCACTGGTTTTGATATAAAATGTATAAAACAGTGCTATTTAAAATGTAACTGTATTGTATTGTAGTCAGTTGTAAGTAGATAGATTACCGTCTTAATGTTAACCTTGTGGTTGTTACATTTTCAAAGTAATTGTTTTGTGCCAGTTACAAGATATGTTGGTCTCATGAAGTTGGTCTCATTAGCATTTTACTGTTATTGTTAAAATCGTGTCAACTTAAAATCGTCACGCCCGTAGAATTCAAGCAAACATTTTCTTGAATAAAATAATGAATACACATAACAATATATCGCTATGTCATTCTTCAAACTAAATAATTTGAGGAAAGCTATTAATGTTAATTGTAACGTATCCTGCTGGGGAAATGGAATGACCATGAAGCAAGATACTGTACGTTATAGAATAATTTACTTCTGTGGTTGAAATAAGTCCTAAACCATTGTATTAATCGGATATCCATATTTTGCCAGTTATAAAATATAATACGTATGATGTTTGACAAGGTATAACATGTATTATACACTAAGAAATCGACTGCTGTTACTTTATCACTAAGATGTACACTTATTATTGAGTTTAACATATTTCGTGTCAACACAATCAATTCATCACGCACGTTAGTTTTTAGTAAAAAACTTGCTTAATGCCTTATGACACAAAACTTACAAGGGTAAAACGTTTATTTAAAGCTTTAGATTGGTTAAAACATATTTATTCCTAATATATCATGTTATATGAGAAACTCAGGATAGCAGATGAAAAACGCAGATACATGTATTTAAAAACGTCACGCACGTTAGCATATTGAAAATTAGCTGAGAAACCTTAAATGCATAAATTCATGAAATATCGACAAACGATTTTTTCGTCATATGCATTTACACAGTTTGAGAGACTTAAATGTATTTTATCGTCTGTATTACAAAAGTAACTGTTGATTTCATCAAAAACGTCACGCACGTTAGATTTTTTACATTTTGCTGTGTTATTTCATAATTTCCACTTAAACTACATGTATCTTTTAAAGGCAATTTTCTGGAACAATGATCGTTGTTCGTCCCAAAAAATCAAAAATTGATTGAAATATCAACCGTTTTAATTTTTTGGAGAAAGTTACGAACTTTTGAAAAAGACCCATATACGACCTGAAAGCCCGTGTCTAAATCTACAAAATAATGTTTACTTTATTTGGATTAAATAACAATTGATGACACCTCAAAGCATCAACAGGCGGCCTTTTTGGCATTATTTTCACTGTTTGCAACGTAAATGTACATGAGATCAATTGAACAATTTACATTCCTTGTACCCTGTATTGATCAACCTTTGCAACTCTGTACCGTGTACTATAACACATCAAATATTTTAAAATTTAAAACGATATTATTTACATTCTTTCTTCAACTATCATATAACTTGGAACGTGGACTTCACTATTGCACCACTGAAGGTCAGCGAATAGCAATATTAGAGACCTTAAGATTGCACCAAATAGTAACCTGTACCTGTACCTGTACGTGAAACATGATGCGCGCGCAACAAATCATGTAACTTTATGCTCCATTCGACACGTCTGACTTGTTTTATAATCCCGTTGACGTGTAAATTCAATAGCGCCGGGCGTTTTTGTCGTCTTGTTGTGAACCTGTACGAGAAAGATTGTGAGTGAGATCAGTATTACATAACTATGTACTATTTATTTCACGGTCTCATTCATCTTACACGAGCGGCAAGACGTGAATTTGGCACTTTACAGGTTGGTTGGAACGTGAGTTTTGAACCATTGATAAACGACTAAAAAAGCAATTTGCTGTTTATTTATGTTATTAAAGGGGCAATACCGGAAATCGGGAATAATTCCTTAGAAAAACGTCAAAATAAATCGTTGGTGCCTCAAACCTGCCCCTAAGAATGGCTACGACGTGAACTTACTTATGTCAAAATACCGGAGCCTGAAAAAATCACTCACCTAGGTATCAACGAAAGAAGTGTCAGTTTCGTTCGACTGCGAGAGCAAAATTGAAGCTGAGCTAAACGGTTTCCGTTTGTCGTAAATTGACCTCATTTAACTGCGCCATCTGGCGAATGAATCATTGTTTCGTGTCATATGATTCGTTGTTTTGTGTCACGTGACATACCTTTAGACCTTTTGCCACCTATCGTAAGTTAATCGAATTAAAATGAAATTTTTCGATCCAAGAAGAAAATTTGCACAAAAATTATAAACTCCTCTTGACATAATCTTTGTCACTCTATCATCTTCTTGATGAGGCACATCGGAACTTGGGATTAATAGCCATTCAACCAAGCCACAAAAAGTATGTATATTAGTTGTTCAACATGTTCAATTGTGTTAATATTTCCCGGAACTCGGCCTTTAATTTAAAAGTA